ACAGAGGAGTGAATAAAACCTATTAAATAAATTCTATTTTTTCGATATATTTTATTTATTTCTTACCGGGATTGATTCAGAATTTTATAAAGACTGGTTTTCACTGCTGGCACAGTTAACGTTTGATAAATGTTTGGAGGTTTTTGTAAATAATTATTTTAATTACTATAGAGCGAAAGTGAAAATAGTCAAAACAAGAAATTAAAGTTTCTTAGTAGACTGCGTAGAGATACATGATGTGTATACCCTTTTTCACTCTTTTTGTTTCATTTTCAATTCACTCAAGTTTCCAATTCTGTGCCAATATATGCTGTCGCCAGATTCTTGCAACTCCGCACGCCGGCTGAATTATAAGAAATCCATCTTTCTATTTACAGACCTAAGTTATGTTCTTAGGTTTTTCTGCTGCCTTTGCGTAAAGCAGTACTTTTCCAAAAAAATCACCTAAAATGTAACAGTGAATTCTAGCTCTTCCAGACCTCTATTTTCATTGGCGTAAATAAGCAGTTGCTTCAGCTTTCAGTAGCCCTGGGGGTATTGTTTGTGTTGAATCATTTATTGTTTCGTTCTCCAATCACAGACCATGACTGGAGAGTTACTGACCTTCTCTAAATTCTTGAGCTCACAAACTGTATTGCCTCTGAATTAAGTTATCATTGTAAAAATATATCCAACGCGGTGGCACTTAAATATAGATGTATAGGTTATAGTTGAATACTCTATTCCAACTACGGGCCAGTGCGGTTTTGTCTATGAATCCTTTATCAGGAGCAAAGAGTGTCACCTTCCTCCCCTTCCCCCCTTTTTTGCCTTTGTTTTTACTTCCGTGCTACAGCTCATGCGCGGAAATGTTCATTGATACGTATATCATCAGGAAGCAAACTGGGGCCGCACGTTTATGCGTTTACAATTAGTAAATTCAATATTTATCACAAAAATCCTCTCTTGTCACAAGCTTTGGCATTATATATTACAAAACAAGGAAAACAAGGCACAAATTCCTTCATCTCTTTCAATACACTTGCGTCTCCGGGGGAGCACTGGCAACAACGTTTCTTAGCCAACGAAACTTTCAAAAGATGGGTGTGGGGGTGTCGCTGTTAGGCATGGTGCCTGACGACCATTCTGTGAAGAATTATATTAGTACCGAAAAGATGAAGGTTAAGCTGCTTCCGTTGGATAAGTCACATGTCCAACGGGTTGTGAAGGATAAGAGCCAGATCCCTCGGGATACTCGGAATAGGATGTTGAGGGGTGGTGGTCATATAACCCGGCGATCCTCCGTGAGTTGCTGATCCTATTTGACCAGTGTTAAGTCTGGCTATAACGTATTCAGCAGGGTTCTCTCTCGGTTTGCTAGTATGCACTATAATGGTAGCACTCAAGAAGTAGACCTTTTAATGATGAGGCACTTCAGTCCAATACAGTGAAACCTGTATCAAGCGGACACCCTCGGGGAAAGCTGTAGTTTCCGCTTAATACAGGGTGTCCGTCTAATACAGGTTTCAATAGATAACGACATGTGAGGTGTCAAATGTCATTCAAATGAACAGTGGGAACGTTTAGAATACTCCCAGAGACTATGACGATATACTTTTGCATGAATTTCTTTAACAAAGTGGACCAATTGATCATAGTACCATAAACATATATTACAACTCAAATTTGAAGAAATCAGATCAGTGTAAAAAGCTCTGTACAAACAAAACGAAATAGAAACAATACTGTACTGGGAAACTAATCAAATAAGTTCGTCAAGTCACGTTTTTTAATGTAAAAATCGAAAAATTTATGGCTGACAATTCGAGGCAATCTTTAGCATTTCCGGTGTCTGACATGTTGGGTGGTGGAATTTAATTACAAGTGTCCGTTTAAGACAGGTTGGCAACAATAGAAATGACCATTTCAGGTACTTTTTGGGTGTCTGTGTCCGCTTAATAGAGGTGTCCGCTTAATAAAGGGTTCATTTAAAGTAAATAAGGGAAATAAATTTGGGGACTTCGGCTACTGTCCGCTTAATAGAGGGTGTCCGCTTAATACAGGTTTCACTGTACCTTGTTTCGTTTTTTGCATTTCAGCGGCTCACCGAGTAGACTGTTGACAGTCGTCTATTTTTCCGTAAGATCATCGAGATCGAGAGCTTTGCGTTACGGGCTACCCATCTTGCATGAGTGTCAAAACTACCTAGGGGGCGGGGGCGGTTTGGGAGAAAGCGAGAAAAATAGACGGACCCTCTATTTTTCTCGCCCTTCCCCCCCCCCCCCCCAGCCATAATCCCCGACGCCCGGCCCCTCGGTACATTTTAAAATCAAGATAGCCGTTACGGTAAGAAGACGCGGTATATCTAAACGATCTCACGAAAAAATAGGGGACTGTGAACAGTCTACTCACCGAGAGTTCATTTGCATTCTCTAGAAATGCCTCAATTAGGAGTTTAAAGTGTCGGCAAAGTCAATGTTTGATAAATTTTTCAGTGGAGGGGGTTTGTTTAAATACTGGAACGAAAGTGAAATTAGACAAAACCAGAAAGTTTGTGAGTTGACAAAGTAGATAATGAGTACCTTTTTTCACCCACTTCCTGTCACTTTTTATTCTCTCAATTTCCCAGTTCTGTACCCATATTGTCTAAAAATTCCTGCATCCTCGTTTTCCGTAAGTCACCTAAAAGTAAATTCTCGAGCTCACAATATTGCCTCCAAATTAAGTTGTTAAGTTTTAAATTATAACTGAGGTAGACCAGAGACCCCTCTATCCCTACAGGCCAGTGCGTAGAACAAGAACGAGAAGCCCGAAGACTACAGCAAAGCTGATTTAAAACAACGTGTGTTGTTTTTTATAACAATATTTCGGCTGGCCATACCAGCCTTCTTCAGGTTTACAGATGCCAGTGCGTTGAGCCTGCGTGCAGTCCGGCTCTCTTTTCCAGGGGCACCCAACGTCAATTTTCGGAAAATATCTGTTCGGAAGACTATTTGAGATCTAGAATTTTCGGAACATTTGTTGTAAAATTTCTTGCTTGCCTGCTTCTCCTAAGATTTTCGAACACCTAGAAAAAGGTATAATTGCCCAACCTCGTCCCCAGGTAGCCTCCCCGCAGACGTCCTTTGGGGTTCGTTTGTCACGCATTCAGACAAACGAACCCCAAAGGACGTCTGCGGGGAGGCTAGTCCCCAGGGCGCTTTTCCCTGGCTTTGGAGGTGGATAATTGCCTATTTTTAACGGATTTATACCCTAAAAAGGTCACGTAGAATTTTCGGGAGCCTTTTTCTGGCTGAAATTTTCGAAAAGGTAAGTTTTGATCCCCATAATTTTCGGATCACTAGACTTTCAGCTAGGAGATCCGAACAGATGAAAAAGTTTTAGTGGATAAAAATATGCCTATATCTACCGTTTAAAAACTTAAATGCGTTTAACAATGCTATGTTTAAGTGGTTTGAACCATATTCTCGTTGGGTGTCCCTCCTTTTTCTTCGTGTAGCCATTTACGGTACTCGTATAGTTCAATCGGGTTCCCTGACACTTATCCACTAGCGCGAATCAACACCGCGGCAAAACGCAATGCGCATGAGCACAAAATTTGACATCCGGTCAGCTTTTTATTTCCGGTCTAGTATATAAATCAATTGCGTAAGCATAACATCGCCGTCGCACCAAGTTTAAAAGCAAAAAGGGCGAAACAGACAAAAAAGGGGGCGAAAAAAATCACTTCAATCGAAAGCTTATATATTTTTCTAGTGTCAAACTTTTGCACCACACGGTTATCTGTTTGCACCAACGGTGAAAATGATGTTTGAAGTTTGCAGGTCGCGAGCGCTCGACATGACGACTTTGTTTTTACTGGCTTTCTTGCATGCTTCTGGTTTGGCATAAGTTAATTTGGGAGAAGGCGACAACTAAGAAAAGAATAACAATACTTATGAAAGAAAACAAAATAAAGACGTCATCATTATCATTAACACTAAAACCAGGAATTAAAATTTTAGTCCGTTTAATAATTTTCTTATTATCAGAGAAAACAAGAACTCAAAACAAAAGATGGGCGGGATTTAATAACAACTTCGACTTTGACGACTGCAGTCACAAACACTCGCAGGTTTTCAGTGCCGGGAAACTAAACATGCCTATAAATGACTTTCATTCAAGAAAATGCCTATTTAATTCTTTTACATGGTTTTTCTTTGGTTGAAGACTTCAATAACTTCAGACTGTGCGGCTCGGCTGCATCTCATGCAAACACGAAACTTCCAACGGCTAAATACATGGCATGAAAAGTTCGACTTCTAAAAGCCATCGAACTAGCTTTCGCTCTCTGATTCTGAGAATGAAAAAATAAATAGAGTTGTCAACTTGCTGCCAACCTCAAGAGTATAATTAAGCTTATGTTTCATGGCAATCATCTCAGAGGAGTTTCGTTTCAAAACAAGGTAAAACTCACTGGTGAAAAAAAAATAAAAAAGCGATTGTGTGTTGTGGTTTCCCAAATAAAGCTCGAATCGGCTTTAAGACATGTAGACTGAGAAATTGAAGAACTGAAAATTAGAACTAAAATACGCAAGCTTGCAATAATAACTTTTTATGTCTTAGTTTCAGCCAGGTTAAGTGAAAAATAACAGTCAAAAACTTTGTTTTCGTGAATGAAAATCAGTTTACCTGAGGCTCTAGTCAAAATTACACACTCTGAGTTATTATCACCTTACCTTTTCTGAATCTAATCGACTAATTGTTTTAGTGATCTGTGCCTGGTTATCCATAAAAGCAATTTCAATAACTACAAAATAGTCAAAACACGAGCAGCATGAAGCAGAAGAACTGAACCACAAGCTGCACACAGAATGAATCCGAACGCGCGCGGGAGACTTTGATCTGACTGGAAAGTGTGACTGAAAAAGAGACCGGAAATGTTCATCCTGGCGCATGCGTAGACGTTTTGCCGCGGTGTTGCGCGAATCGGCCTTCGAACAAGTTGCTATGGTAATGCACGGCGCGCGGACTGTGTTCTAATTTCCAATATGGCGGCTTCGTGGCAAAGTTGAAATGATAAAGCTCAAGATATTTTAAGCAGTTTGTTCTTAATTTTTCATTAAAATGAATAAATTTTCGGCACGAAAGCAAGATTTAGGAGGATGGAGTGCAAAATTTGGAGAAGAAACCAGGAATCATAGGCATCCGTGTAAGTACAGCGAGGGTCAATATATGATGTGATTACGTTCACCCGGACGATCATGCATGATCAACCTGCTTATGACACGATGTGTTTATTGGTGAATTTCTTCAACTTTAAAAGAATAATAAATGGTTATGCAGGTCTTTCATCCTAAAGTGAAACGTTTATTATATATTTTGTAAAAAATAAATCGTTAGCACAGTAAGCCAGTACAAACTAACCCAACTTAAACTTCTTAGACAAAATGACCCATTTTTTTTAATGAAAATGCTAAAACTTGCACTTGCATGTAAAGCAGTAATTCAAAATTTATTAATTCTTCTTCTGTTCTTCAGTACCCAACAGGCTTGTAGGTCTTCCTGCTATTAACTATGCTGGTCTTCAGTTGCTATGTAGCACTGAGGGGCTTGGTGAGAGGTATGTTAAACTTATTTAGCTGTGACCCGAGATCAGGCCCAATTTTAGCAGTTCTCATACATTCTCTCTTACGTAGTCCCACTTGCATTTCGCCTTGCCTATCGGAATGTTATTTACAAAGGGAAACTAAAAACGCACCTTATCTCAGGTTAATTTAGCTGACAACTAGATGTGTTTTTGAGCATCACGAACAATTTTTAACTGTCAGGATTCAACCTAAAAGTTGGTTCATTTGTTAAGTTGTTTGATTGACCTGAATGTTTAATTATTATGGAATTCCTATACAGCAGTGCATGTCGCACTCAATAAGTCAAGGTCAAAATATAAAAACATAATAGTTCAGGAAGACACGAAACAACTAAATACATGGGCACTTGTTTACATATCTTTAATGATTAATTATTATTAATTGCAGTTGAGTACTCTTTGTGTTAAAGCCTTTTCCTTCAAAAACAAGATGATCAGAAAACAGAGTGCTAGCCATTTATTTATCCAGTGGTCTTTTAAGTTCCAGTGAAAATATTAAATTCCATCGAAAATCAAAAGTTCACATTTATATAATTATTTGGTGTTGGAATAAATGGATTTTAAGTAAAACTTTTGTTGTTTGTAAACAGAGACAGACCCTCAACATCAGAAGCTCATCGATTCTTCATGAGTAACTATCCAAAGATGTTTAACAGACCTGCCACCCATAATACACAGTTGTCATTAGACTCCAGGCAAATAAGGTATGAATTTTATTTTGCTTTAGTTATTCCTGGTCTGTGCTGACCCTGACCCTGGTCAGCTGTCAGAGATGATGATGGCCATGTCTGTCGCTAGCAGTTACGCAGCTTTGTGTAAATTTTGTTAACACATAATTAGTTCCACTATACTTTGCCCTTCTCCATCCCTAATATTCTTTGTCAAGCTTTTGTAAATGTAGTTTTTGTCTAATCACCTTGTATTAATATATACTGTAAAATAAAGGTATTACTTTTTAAAGAATGGAGTAAAATACATTCAAATACAAATACATGTACCACAAAGATGACTTGAAGTTTGTTCTTATTTTACAGAAGTCTCTCTAGATTCCATATTAATTTTGTACCTCTGGGACAACATCAGAAGACCTTTTCATACTATTTTAGTAACTATTACTTGATCTCTGTTTGGTTTTCCAGGTGCAAATTACGAAATGTTACTGTGAAATAATTGTTATTAATAGAGAGCATGAAAAGTAATATTGTTTTGTTACACAACATGGCTTCATAGTTTTTTTTCATCAACAGAAAGTTAAATTTTGGAGATGGACAGATGTTGAAAGCACAAGAAACTAAAATACCACATGGTAGGATGCATTAAAAGTTCTCTAATTCCCTAAAAATTGTCTTATTATTTTAGTCCTCAAAACATTAAAAAAAAATATTTTTATGAATTCTTTTGGCACCTGCAGACAAAGGATTATATCCCCACTGGTGTGAAGGGTTTAACCCGCCCATCAGCCATAACATCTCAGATCACCTGTCAAAGCTTCACAGACACTCAGTTATCACTACATCTTTTGCTGGATTACAGAACATGAGAATAAAGGCCATCAAGAAAGTTCTTAAAAAACAGTAAGTTTATTCAATACGTACTCTCTGTATAACACAGGAAAAATTTCAGATTCCCAAATTGGGAAATTCCTGTAAATTTTCCCAATTTAGGGATAATATTGGGGAAAAATCGGGAACGAAATTACCAAAATTGGGAAAATTTTGGGAAGTTGAACCACTTTTAAGATCACAAAAAAGGGATTTTTTTGGGACAATATAATAATTATATTTTCAAAACTCCATTTTGGGAATATTATGGGAATTTACCCAATTCTGGGGAAAAATTGGGACATGAATTTCCTTCTTTGGGAAAATATTGGACAAAAAAATTGGGAAAATTTTGTCTTGGAGAAAATAGAAAGTACTATTTTGGGAAAATATTGGGAAATCTTAAGAGTTCATTCCACTCGTCCCAATTTTTTTTGGATTTGGGAAATATTTTTCCAAAAATGGGAAAACATTGGGAACAGAGTTGTTAAATGTTTTTGGATTTTCCCAATTCTAGGAAGGAATGGGACATAGCTTTCCTACGGTGGGAAAAGTTTGGGTGAAAAATTGGATCAGGTAAAAGTTACTGTAGAGTTAAGTTTTCTATTCCAGTCGCCATCGCCGCGTGTCTTTAAGAAAGAAAGAAAGCCGAGTGGCCTTGGGGACGAGAATGCTTGCCCCAGTTCTCTTTCCCCGCATGCGCACAAGAACGGCTCGCTCGATTCAAACTCCCGTTCAGAAGATGGCTTTGTTTCTTGCTTCGTCCTCACAAAATTCAGACTTAGAGCCAAAGAAAACGGATAAAGATGAACGAAAAGAACAATTTGAGGATATAGAGAATCCAAGTGCAGAGGAAATCTTAAAACGAATCAAAGAATGTTGTGGAGAAGCAGTGGGGAAAGCGTTTGAAGGTACGAACGTTGCTTTTATATTTTCGGCGGGAAACGGCCCAGAATGCTACAAACCTTCCAAGTTTCTCTCTTTTTTAGTTTTCTTTTACTTTTTGGCGTGCTTTTATTGAACAACAACAATCTGTGGTACTTTGCATTGGCGAAGACTTGAACAATATTAAATCAATATTTCCTAGCAAATGTAAAGTTTACTTGTTTATTCCATGGCCGTCCATTTTGCCTACATACTGAACTTTTGCTAGAAAAAAAGTTTCATGAAGTCGAGAGGTTGAGGTTTAAAGCTTACTTCTCTTTTTCTTTGAATTAAATGTAAAATCTCTTTTATTTTATATACCCGTTCCAAGCACTGACTTGATTGAGAATAAAAAAACTGTCTCGCACGATACATGTTTTGAATATGTAAAACTGGCAGAAGTGCAGGTCATAGCTTTCTAGGTTTTCATCTCAGCTAATATATAAGCTTATGATATATAATACACTAAAAATATGTGTGTATGTTACTGGTACATAACATCCTAAACTGGTCAAAGCCCTGTTTTCTTCCCTTTGGATTATTATTATTTTTTTAACATTGAAGGTTGAAGGTTTTTGATTTGCATTACTGATTTTAAAATTGCAGGACAGTGGCGATATTGGTAGCTTTGGATCAACACTTTCACCAGATAACTCTGAAAACGAAAAAGGAGACCCACCACCTTCCCAGGCTAGTACTGCAGAGGGGGGTAGCAGTATTCAGTTGTCACCAAAACTTTGCAACATGATTGTGAGATTTATATGTGGAAGTGTTTTGGGTGGAGAGGAGATCTCAAAGCTGCTGAAGAAGAGATTCTCTGTCACACCTAGAAATCTCACGCCCCTCACTATCTCAACTGTTGGAAGTGGTGTCCAAGAAGCCAGCAAGGCACAAGTATGTGGAAATCCCTGATGAACCTGTTGATCCTAGGCAGCTGAAGATGGGTATGATAAAAGTGAACAAGGAGACTGAAACAAGTTACCTTTCATAACTTTAATAGTGATGTGATGATGTTGATTTTATGACAATTAATGCCTAAAAGGACTGTGTTTTTTTCTGAAAACTTTGAAAGAGTTTATTGTTATAACCTTTCCTCAAGGGTACTGACTGTTTTAATGATGGAAACACCTTACATTTGAAAAAGGTTGTGTTGGGATTCATTAATGTTCTATATTATTTATTATAGCAAGAAGTATTGATGCTTTCCATATTATACTGTAAATTGAACAACCAGTCAGTCTAAATGCACTTGAGACATTGATGGACACATTCAAATGAGACATTTTGAAATTCTAAGACATGTATACTTACTTATATAAATAAATTCAAATAGTTTATTTGTACAAAATATGCACTATGTTTTTATTTAAACCAAAAATATAGTTAAGTGTATTAAAACTGTTTGAAAAGAAAATGCATTATCTTAGTTGATTTGGACAAAAGCTGTTTGTCTATTCTAGACTTGTTGGGATTTGGATTGGAAATTTCAATCCCAATATTGGGAAAAACCAGGCTCAAAAATAACCCATTATTGGGTAAAACTTGGGACCTAGAAATCCCATTATTGGGGATAAAATGGGACGTTTTAATCCCAATACTGGGAAAAAACTGGCACAAAAATAACCCACTGTTGGGTAAAACTTGGGACCTAGAAATCCCATTTTTGGGAATAGAATGGGAAGTTTTAATCCCAATACTGGGAAAAAACTGGCCCAAAAATAACCCATTCTTGGGTAAAACTTGGGACTGAAAAATCCCATTATTGGGAATAAAATGGGATTTTAAAAACCCATGCTTGGTTTTGGTAGCACTTTCCCAATTTTGGGTTTTCCCAAAGAAATCCCTTTGAAATCCCAATTATTTCCCTTTTTAAACCCAAAATGGGGATTCTGAAATTTTTCCTGTGTAAGTGATGTTTTTTTCAGTCAGTGAATGTTTATTTTGACAGTAAATCTACTATTTTAACCCTTTAAGCCCCGATATCCACATACAAATTCTCCAAACTTATCTCTATATATTTCCTTAAAGAATGAGTTGAGAGAATTTGATAAAAGATCAAAGTATTTACTCTTAGGTGATCATTTAATTAATTCTCAGAACCTAATCTCATGATAATGTAGGGATATCGTTAGGAAAAAATTGCTGTTGGTCACTAATGGGACTTAAAGGTTTAACTGTTTGACCTTTCATTTTTGACAGGCCTTTTGAAAGGAAAACAAAAGATAATGAGATCCTATTTAAGCACCTGCAATATTTTCCTGAAGTTGCTGATCAAGTTCCAAGCCATGTGCTGAAAGAACTCTGTTCTGTAGCACAGCTTGACAGATGTCCAGAGGAGGACTACACAGGTTAGACCATTTTTTCAAGTCTTGTCGGTTGATTTAGCTTCTTTTAACGAGACCTAGAATACACTGGATCTCTCGTGGGTGTTGTGTGGTAACAGCGTACTTTGCATTGATCACCTTACTCTATCTGCCATCTTCTTTGGCTTTCTGAGGGCGTAAGGGGGACACGAGCACCACAAAACTGCACAGAAATACTTATAAACACCACACAGAATAACATAAGCAAACTGCAAACCGCGTTGAAATTACCCAAAAATTTTTAATGTATTAAATTTTGCAAACTGCTTCAGGTTTTGTAAAATCTCAATACGGTAACTTAAAAAAAAAATTTCTGCAAAACTGAAAAATCACATCACCACAAACCCTTAAATGCCCCCCTCCTTTCTTAACAACACACACATGAGGACTTCACAAGCTACGAGAAAAATATAATTGAATCTGAAACGAAAAGTTTTATTTTTAATTTGTGGCATGATACTGGTTTAAGAAACTTTAAGATAGATATTTAAAGGTTTTCTCCCTCCACAAATTTTAACATCTCTTATATTAATTTTTTGTTACAGAGATGTAATCTTCCAAAACATTTGAATACTAGGTGCCAAATTCCAGAATTTTTGTTCGTTTTTTTTTTCAGTGTTTGGTAATACAGGCCTCCATCTTATCTTAAGAGGAAGTGTTGTACCACAAACTTCACCAGCCTACTCACGAATAAGTGAAACAACAGAGTTTCCTTCTCCAACACCAATATTTGATGAAGATGAGCTACAAGTAAAAGAAAAGGTAGGAATTTTGGGAAATTAAAATATATGTACATATATTTTTCAAAGTACTTAAATCTGGACTGTTCACAGTCACTTATTTTTCCATAAGATTATAGAGATCGAATGCTTATCATTACATGCAGGCAATGTGCCAGGGGGAGGGAGGCGAGAAAAATAAAATCTGAAAAAACTACTTGTCTTGCCTCTTCCCAAACTATCCCCCCCCCCCCAGTAAGTAGAATTAATACTCATCCCCAGGCAGGGATCATTTGAAACCAGTATGGCTGCCCATCAAGGTAGGCACACGATCTCAACAGTGAATTTGTGTGATGGAGTGGCTAGGAGAGCTCTCTATGTGAATTCTTGAGGCCTTTTTTGGAAAAGTGTTTTTGGGCATACAATGCACTGATTTTTATTCTCCCTTCATTACTAAGCACTGTCGTGTTTGGTTTTAAAAAAGATAGCTCTAACACATTGTATCTGCCCAGACATCAACGTGGGGAAATTCTTTTATTTGAGTCAGACACTGTCTAGTGGCCTGTTGTAATTTTATTGCAACTGTATAAACCATTCCATGTAAATTCATTTTGTTTTTTTTAGCTAACAGTTGGCCAATGTTTTGGTACACTAAGCAAAGTTGAGGGGAGGGAACCAAACTCAAGGTATTTACTTTGTTTGTATTATTAGTGCATTTACTTTCCTATTAACTGCTACCGCCTCATATACCCCCTGCTAGCTAGCTTCCAAACGTATTCTCACTGAAAACACATGTGCTGCTTTTTTATGAGCGTGAGACAAAATTATTAATTTTTTTTATAGGCTACTTTCTGTTATTTCCTTGGAACCGTGTGAGTTTCTGAAGATTTCCACTAGTGATTATGCACGAGTTATCCAGGTAACTTTGAATATTATTTTAAAACACTCAACAATGGCTTGCTGCTTATCTTAAAGAGTTCTCTTCTTGTAACATATTGTTGATTCCTTTCTTGTTCGAATTCTCGCGGATTCTCGAGCACGTGCTCGTGACGTCACCGTACGCTGTCAACCAACCTCGTTGCTAGGATCGTTGCTTCTAAAACTTCGTCATCATTCAGAAAGCACTTTCGCAATTATGATGTATTCTTAGAGAAAAGGACTACAAGAAGGGACCAATAGCAAAAGCAATGACAAAATTCCTAAAGCACACTTACCCGAACACCGCTTTATATTCCATTACAGATCATTCAAGCTCGTGAGGAAGAACAGAAACTGTCCTTAGCCAAGATGTGCAAGCTTTTCCACAGCTGGCCTTTGCTCTCGCTCAAGAAAATAGCTGGACTCATTAAATGGAGAAAGTTTCCACCTGGCCAAGGTATAGATGTTCAAGACTAGGAAATCCAATTGGCATTCTTACTGATGTTCCTCGGAAGTAAGGGGTAGTGATCCACGGAAAGAGGATTATTACCTGTTTTATTGATTTGTTAGGTTAGCCTGTGAGAGCGCAAGCTCTGCATGACTAAGCGACTTGATACTGGGGGAGGAGAAGAAAGCCCCCACCTTACCCCCCCCCCCGTCACTTCTGATCCATAAGTCGAAAGTATTTTCGCAGAGTTGGCTGGTCAAATACCACTTAATAAGGGACACGACTTGGAAAAAAAGAACTCTTCAGAGCAAATTAAGAGAAACGTTTGGGTATATAGTGCAGAATTACTTGGTGGAAAGTTAATATTACATTTTATGAAATTAAATCCGCTGGTGAAAACGACTTCTCTACAAGGTTTTAATCTGATTCTCTCTGTATTCGATATTTGTTCTTTCTCAGTCCTTGTAAAAGAAGGCGAAAGATGTGAAGTGATTGGTTTTATAAAGAAAGGAGAATGTCTCTTACGGCGACATATCAACGTGGCTCACACTTTTCCAAATGGCAAAAAGGTTAGTTTCCCCCACCTTTCTGCAGTTCATCTTTTAAATAAATGGGGTCGGAAGATGTAAAAATTGACGTATTCTGAATCTGTGATGTCTCTACCATTGATATCGAAGAAATGATGAACCCTGATGATAAACCAGTGTTAAGAAATCATTTAAAGGTAGCTTGAATTATCCAGAATATCAAATTGAGTTGCAAAACTTGACAAGATGGAAAGAAGTAGAAGATGTTTGCAAGCAGACAAGCCAGGTATTAGATTTGGTAACCGGCCAACATGAGTGTACTGTGAAAAGTGCCACGCCCATGACCACGTGTTCCCTACGATGAAAAGTGCCACGCCCATGACCACGTGTTCCCTACTGTGAAAAGTGCCACGCCCATGACCACGTGTTCCCTACTGTGAATAGTGCCACGCCCATGACCACGTGTTCCCTACTGTGAAAAGTGCCACGCCCATGACCACGTGTTCCCTACTGTGAATAGTGCCACGCCCATGACCACGTGTTCCCTACTGTGAAAAGTGCCACGCTCACGACCACGTGTATCCCTACTGCCCCCCCTTTTCAAGTAATGAACTTTTCTTTATAATCTGTAGGAACAACGCACCAAGTCTGTGCTTATTGGTAGACTGTGCACAGGAGACTCGTTTGGTGAGAGCACAGTGCTGAAGGGTCTACCGATGCCATGCTCTGTAGTCACGGATACGCATGTGCAGATAGGCACCATCTCCACATTTGACGTTTATGGTAAAATTTCACGTCATAACATGCTTTCCAGACCGGCGTATTTCCAGGGCTATTGTTTATTGTAATGTTAACTGTGATTTGGGTTTCTGTCCGACTTTCTACATGATAGCAAATTACAAACAAAAACCATAGTTTACTTGATGTTTGATTTTGTTTAGACTTAGATGAGGTAACAAGATCGCTTCTGACCCAGTCCTACTCTGTGATGGATGCTAATTTAACGGAGGTAGATTACTAATATAAATGTAACGGTACATGTTTTGTTTTCTTTCGGCTTCTTCTTCTTTTGCTCACCTTTTTCGTGGCGAGGGACTCAAAAAACAATACATCGTCTAATTTCAAGGATTTAGTTTTGTCTGTCTCGACTCCAGTCGGAATATCAGACTATCAGTTGCCCTACCCTAGGTGGGTAGAGCCTCCTTTGCCGGGATGTGAAACATTACAATTCCGGTATTAGCTGCTTATCATATCCAGGATTTTTTTAGCGTGTTTAAATACACGCTTAGAAAACACGCTCATAGATGATCAGATGATCTAGCAAAGGGGTTTTTCAGTCTCCGGGAGTTATTTGAGCGTTCAAAATACTTATTTTAGTTTCAGACATTTAAATTATCGTCGATCGTTTTTTTCGCAGGATGAGATACAGAAAGAATACATCGAACAAGAGAAAGAGAAGGAGTGGATCAGATTCAAGGTGGGGCCTGATATCCTAATGCAGATTGATAGCCTGTTTAGCAGGCGCCGTTTTTTATGGCGGAGGGAGAAATTTCGAGGACGGACACGCGCGCACGTGGAGAGCCGGATAAGGAGAGCTGTTATAGAGCGCGCTCTATAGCAACTAACCAAAAAACAGACCGGCGCCTGCCACGCAGGCTACAGATTTGAATAGTAAAATTTCGCGGTCTAGAAACTTCACACCGCAGCTCTTTCCAAACGTTGGGATTTTCCAGTTCGGGGCCTTTTTGATGGTGGCGCCTTGACCCCGATGGTAGAAAGTTTCTTGCTGACACATATCTTGTACAAACCGATCCTTCGGCCCCATGATACCAAACTTCATGCGATCTCTACTTAGACAGTAATGTAAGTTCGTTGCATTTAAAACAAGACCTATCACTTTTATCCTCAAAGAAAAAATGACAAACTAAAGAAGATAATGATAAAAAGCAGTTGTTTAAAGCGACGCATAGCGTGGATTCCATTGGTCTCAACCTGAAGAAAACCTAGAAAAATTCTTTTTTACTATTTGTCGAATTGAAACAATTAAATGCGTACTTTTCGTTTCAGAACAAAGTCGTCAGCAATGTGTTACATCACAGAGGTATTCTTCCCGGATACAGCAAATGGAGTAGAAATCTCTCCCCATTGGAAGCTCCATATAAGTGACACGCAATCGCACCAGCAAATTGTGAAGACCGTTAACTAGCCTAAGGCCTAGATCAAACGTTGAATTTCACATGCGCCTACCCTAATGCTATTGAGCAAAATCCGATTTTCTTGCTTGTTAGCCTTAGGTCCTGATCATGTGAAATTCAACGTTTGAATCAGTACGGCGTTTGCCGAGCCGGGTCGTAGATGCGTTGTAGCATCTCCAATGTATCGGCTGCTAAAGCATTCCAAACTGTGTTTTACCTCCGTCACAAAACGTACTGGCCACGCAATCTTTCTACACAGTCATCTGTAGAAGACAGCTTGAAAATGAGATGTCATTTCTTGTACCAAACTGCATAGCCTGTTCCAGGCATTCAGATAGTGGAGAGCGGTGCGAAGTAAAAAGGGGCGCGAAAAAATAAAAGCGAGGGAGGGGGAGAGGTGAGAGAGGGTTAGGGTTCCCGCACCTCTCTCCCCAGTCCCCCTCTACTTTTCATCGCTTTCTTTACTTCGCACCGCTCCCCACTATCTGAACGCTTGGAACAGGCTACAAACTGCATGGAATTTTACTCCTTTTCGTGCACACGTAGTAACTAGTTCAAGGTTAAGGCCAAGGCCAAAGGTTGGCCTTTTTATGAGACGAACAAAACGGAGTGAATTTACTTCAGGACAAGTTCGACGTTTGTGACTTTCAAGTTCGTCTGGCTGAGTATGGATCAAAAAACACGTTTCTTCCGTCCGCTTCAGATGGATACAACGTGTAAAGATCGTCTCGGGCACAAAGGTTTGATCTTCTCATGAGACGAGCTCAATAAATAAATTAAAAATTTGTGTGATAATGTATGATAAATTGTATGATAATGTTATTTTACCCTCATTGTAAAAATATGCTTAAAGAAATTGGTAGAAAAAATGGTGAAAACTGAATAATTAAAGAGGCTATGTTACGAGGATATTGCTGTTTTAGTGAGGGTCAATTCCGTGCTGAAGTCATTACAAAGTGGCTTTACCTAGACACAAAATGCTCCTGTAGAGTTACAAAGAAGATATCAAACCTTCTTCACTTTATTTTCCATGACAAAATACAATATTAAGAAGTAAAACCGTGCTCGACTTTCTTTGCAACTTAGGTTTTATCTGCTCCCTCCAGATCCCTTCTTGAATCACCCCTATTGTATATTTAACCATTTTTTTGTTTATTTTTCTCTCTTTTATCTTCAAAATTTACTTGAAATAACCATTTCTATTAAAAAAATATTGCAATTAAAAAAGCTTCCTATGCCATCTATTATATAAATAGCTTCCAATGCGTTGCAGAAACTTTAATTTTTACGTGATGTGTTTCGTTAGGAAACTCGGTGTACCGATACTCGACCCCTTTCTCAATCATCCCCTGTCCTCTTGAACATAAACCGCTTCAGTGTTGTTCCCTTGTTCCATTTAGTCATCTTGTTGCGATATCGTTCCATATTTTCCATCTTTGTTTGACCTTTTTTCATCCTTTTCATCATCTTCGGTGATCGTGGCCCATTTGCACACAATGACCGAGTCAAGAACAAGCAGCGTCAAGTACGCTATGATACAAACGATTGACATGAGTCTTTTGGAGCCAACATCAGTGGAGAGAAACTTGATAACCTTGAGGGCAAAAGACAATGCCTTATGGCTTCCAGTAATCACTATGGTCTTCTTCACTGGTAAACTGAGTTCTAGGAATCCACTTGCGATCCAGTTTAAAAGTAGAAACATGATGTGCATTATTGAAGAGTAACCCACCACGATGAGTATGTTCATGGAAACAATGTTATTAAACTCTTCCTCGACTTGTGCCATGCTCACTTCAGACCACGTAGAGAGAACGAACAGGATTATTATGGTGTATTGGACGCCTGTGTTATATGATTCCACTTTTTCGCGAACCGTCCGGACAATTCTAAGCAAGCAGCCGATCTGAAAGAAATAGGCACGCATTGCATGCAAAGAACAATTACACGTCTGAAGTAAAATAAACGCGTATTCTATATAATCTTCAACGCAGGCTTTCGTTGATAACAAAGGACGATACCTTTTTTGTTCAAAACATTGTTTAAAAGAAAGATTGTTTTACTCCTTAAAAACATTTTAAAAAACCTATTATTGGAAACTTAAATCTGTCGAGGGATTTTCTTTAATTCACCAACGCTTAACTCTTCAGTGGAGTTACAAATCTATACGCCGTCAAGGCCGCGGGGGACACTGTCTATGAATAAATTCATGACGCAAAGTTTTGCTTGTGCTACATCTTTTAAAACGTTTATATCTCGACTGTTTTAGAGGCGATTTAGATAAAATTTTACAGAGACGTTATGAAATGATCGAAGTTTAGGAGGGTTGTTTTTTATTTGCTAGATCACACTTTATAGCGATGCTCAAAGACACAGTTGTACCAAATTAGGAATCGTGATTTTGTGTCCAAATTTGCGGATAGAATAGAAGACAGCACTCTGTAATCAGCTATTAATAAACTCAGTCAAAACCTCTAGGTTTAGAAATTTTCATTTTCATATTATCAAAAATCACTGAAACAAGGTTTGATTCAGAGCCATTTGTTACTTTTGAATAAACGTTTTGTTTGGAGCCTGCGTGTAACACGTGCACTTGTTGAACACTTTCATTTAATCTTTTATCCAGTTATGAATATCTCGTAAACCTGTCGATATCAGTCGTTGTACTTCGTGCACACGTTTTAAATAAATGCAATGAGCCCAAGGTGTCCCTCGCGACCTTAGCACCACTATTGCTTTTGAAATAACTGGGCTATCCACTCAGCTCTACTTACGAAGGTATGTGGAAGTAAAGCCCATAAGGGGAAAACAAACAAAAAAAAGACTAGAAAGCTCAAGTTTCAATGAGCTGTTTTGCTCAACTGAGCAAACCCGGAGCCAGGGTGACGAAGAGTTATGTGGGTAAGTTCGAGAAAGGAACGCGGCAAGTTCTCAGTGCTACTTACGATTGTTGGGAGTAGAGTTACGAGGCAAAACACGAGCATAAGAATGCCGAATCTTGATAAATTTACACCAGTGTTGAGGTCTGTCAACCAAACCAGCATCGGCGGCACAGTAAACACGGACACAACATTTGTTACTGCCATCAGCAACATCGCGAGAGGGAAACTACCACCGGCTAATAAGGACTGAAAAGAAGAAAAAATATGACATTTTAACAAACAGGTCTCACACGTGATTTTCAGAACGAGTTGAGACACCCTTGGTAAGGTGCCGTTCTGTTAGACTAAAACTACTAATCAGTTGTAGAGGGTGTGTCGACCACTTTGTCGAAAATTCATGTGTAATTGTCTTAAGCAGCGTCCTCTTGTTCCACCATCCCTAAAGATGAGTCTATCTAAGGAAGCTGGTGCTTTTGGAAGTCCTAGTGCTTAAGTTGCTAGAAACGCAAAGTTAATAATGCCAAAGCCAAAGACACACTGACATCCTTAATCAGTAACTATCTAGTGGTTTGAGCTGGTGGCTTCCCTGATCTAATCTTTGAACTTGGCATATACTAGGCGTATTTCCTCGCTCTAATAAGCGCCCTTCTCCGATTAAGCGTCCACCCGCTGGGCTAAAATATCAAACAAGCGCTTCCTCTGAATTAGCCTGAATTTCAGACGATTACCTCGAGTCGTTTTTACTCCCTCAGTTACTGAAGGAGTAAAAACGACTCGAAGTAATCGTCTGAAATTCAGGCTACCCTCGAATATGCGCCCCCCCCCCTCCCCAATCACTTCCTTTAACAGTAGGGATATACAAGGAAAATCTGTTTCTATTCCCGCTTTATTGATAACTCTGAGTGTAAACTCTATGATGGGTTCAAGGTACTCTTGATTAACAACAGGAGAACTAGTATTACCCGCTCCCTTCGATTAAGCGCCCTCCTTTAAATAAGCGCCCATCCTTTTAGCCGAAACTTTAGATAAGAACCCGGGCGCTTATTCGCGGAAATGCGGCATTTCCCCCACCAATTATCGTTTTAACAGTTTCCTATCAGTTAACCCGCCTTCCAGATGTCTTACCAAGATAGCAGCAGCAGACAAGCTTGCCGGGACGACAAAAAACACCTGAAGTGCGAACGCAAATTCGGTGGGACCGATGGCGGTCACATTTCCAACAACTGCTGATTGTGAAGTGTTCAAATTCTCATCGACCATAGTTGCAAACTGAATCGTCTTAGTGATTTGAGTTCCCGCAACTGGCACTACAAGAAGAATAGTCAAGATTCCCCATGCGATTGCTTTGTAAGACTTAACTGCTACTTGAAGTTCATCCAGTTTCGTGCGTAGGCCACAGAAAAAGAAACAAAGAGCGAGGCTCACGTAGGAAAAGTAAGTTCTTGTGAGAATTATCCCTGATTCCGGCCACTGGGAACCGATTATCACTATCAAAATGATTCCAATTGCTAACAGATAGTTATTAACAAATTCCCAAGCTTTAACTATGGGTGAAGACTTTGGCAGACATGATCCACCCTCTTCGTGTTTCGTTGTCTCTTTGCTGTTGCCTTCGGGCATGTCGCAGATTTCCGGCCTAAACTGTGTCGTTGTATTTAAAATCTCCTAAAAAAAATGTAATCACAGTTATTGCATTAAGTTTGAGAAAAAAGATTTTAGTGCAGTGTTTTAGTGGCAAAAGATACGTAAATCTCCTGGGTGGTATAGCATGATGAAAGTGCATTCCCAATTGAGAAAGATTTTTAAGGTAAGGGCTGCCGGCTAGACTTTGACAACGGTAATTATATCTTGATTACGTCATCTTTTGATACGAACTACATGTTGGATCCGCGAGTGGCCAAGTTGAAGCTAATACCGGCATGTTCTCTAATTGGCTATACGAGCTATCTTGAAGGTGGTCCGCTTTGTCCAGCAAGAAAAAATTTTTTTAATCTTACTTACCAAGCTTGGTCGGTCAAGACGGCTGAAAATTTGCCAATATCAAGTCATAATAACGCAAATATATAGATAGGTGGTGCGAAATGACGAAATGAAATATCGCGTTCTCACATTCATTGTGTGATCGGTAGCTTGCAATTTCTTTGATTTTTTTCTTTTGAGTAAGAACTTGACGTAAATGAAGGTTTCCAAAGCCGGAGTTTTGGGAATCACAAATGACATCGCGGTGAAACTGGCGGAGTTTGGTTCCAGCAATTTATCCCTGATTTCGTCGTGAAATAAATCAATTCAGCCTCCATCACCTTTGAGAAATTTTGTCTTTCTGGCGATTATTTAAAACTAATTGTTTTTAGCTATAGAACAAAAATTTTGCATGAAAAATTGCGAAATCAACGTTTATAGCCGTCTCTCAGTAGAGAAAAGAGGGCTTGTTCATGCCACTTGCTAATTTTCGGAGTCAGACAATTTGTGCGAGTCCACCAATCATTCCTTTTAATCGTGATTATGTCCTGAAAATTTGTTTTCTATTGCTTGAAGTTTTGGCCATCAGTTCTGAGAAAAAGCTTTCGCCAAATTAATGGAAGTAATTATCTGCCTTCGAACTAATAATTGCATCACTCTCACTTATAAGCGACGATATGCCAGTTGAGCATGAAATCTATATTAACGACCAATGCTGTTGGGAAATATGCCTTGTGTATGTGGTTGATATGAAAAAATAGGACCCCAAAGTTGGCTAAACTGAGACACGTGAATTTGAATAGTTACAAAGTACATTCAACGCAAATTATTCGTTGAATCAGAATTGAGCTTACTTTTGTGTCCGTCTTCTTGAAGTTGGCAAATTTCTCACTTAATAGAAGTAACTCAGTAATTTTCTGGCCCCGAGTGTAAGACTAAAAACGGCGACAGAGATTGTTGTACGTCAAAAAGTAGCATTCAAATTGAAGAAAAAAATCATAATGATTGATACTTCGCTTTCGCCTCTGTCAGTTTGAAAATGCATGAATATCAGTTTAATACTGCCCAGGGACAATTCCCAGCAGTTTTTTAGTCAGTTTCAATCAAATTAAATGGAAAGACGACGTAATGCATATGGCGAATGCGATGTTCCGCGTGTAAAAAACGTCATTAGTGCAGTAATATTGATAATATCTTTTCATCCTCTCCACATTTTTGTACCAGAAAGTAACATGTTTTTCTGTATACATGTTCGTACTGCCTGCAGGAAAGGAAATACACACGGTGTACTTCAAAAAAGCATTAAGTTTCGTATACGCCCGGCCGACGTAATCGCTTACCTCTCATCGCTGGTAAATCCAGAGCGAATTCGCCGAAACATATCACTTTACGTCCGTTATATCATGTAAGTTATCACTTTCCTGAGTGACTACCTTTTTGAGAGCTCAAATTGAAAAAACCAGCATTACAGAAACTTCCATCAACTTGAGTTATTCCAAACACAGCGCAGTTTTTAGCTTTCTAACGAAATTTGCATTTTGTTCGAGGATTGATCTTTAAAAATGGAATAACGGTTACTCAGCAACGCCTACAGCTGTGTAAAACATCCTCACCTTAAACATTTACACAATAAACACTTTTTGTCAAACACACAGAGAGGTGTTTGCTACACAGAAAAAGCGCTCATGCGAGCGGCTGCGAACTTTCAAATCTAATAAAAAACGTACTAGGTATTACGTTGCTATTTTTTTAAAATGAAAATTCCCAATAATGGCCAACACAGGGATGCTTAGGCTTTCTCAAAGTCCATCGCTTCTCATTTCCGGTTCCGGTAGTTGGCCCCAGCTCTCGCTCTCTCGCTCGCTTTTGCCGCAGAAAACATAAAAAGTCTACCGCTCGCGCTTCGCGCTCGTGAAAATTTTGAACTCGACTTGTAGGCAAGTCTAGGGGATTCTCAGCCCGAAAGGGGTGCCTTTTTCAGAGTTCACGAGTTGAAAACTGGGTTGATACGGTCTGCAGAAAGGACCAACAGGGCTAACAGTTGCGTTTGTGTCTGTGAAAAAGTCGAGAAAAGGTTCTAGTTTTGTGATTTGTTCATAATTCAAAGACAGAGCGTTTACAACATTCTAAACTAGGTAAAATTCAACAAAATGGTGCATGTAACTCGTACTCAGTCGCTATTTATAAATTTTTGGGGAGAGAAGATTGGGCCCTGTTACGCACACACGATAACAAAGCCTCTCTCCCCTTCTTCCCAACTTCCTCCCCTGGCCTCCTGTTGCACGTATTGTTCACTGCTTCAAATCTTTGTTTTCTAGTTTTGTATTTTAGCAAAGAAAAGAAAGAAAAATCATTGACATTACTTCTAACTTACATCTCGCCTTGAAATGATACCGATTAACGACTTGTGTATAAATTTGAGTATAAGCCAATTTTACTACCTACCCCACCCTGGAAGAGTAAGTAAAATAAATACATTGTACTGTCCAATATGGCGGAAGACGATGAGAAATTTGACGTTGCTGTTGTAGGCGGCGGGGTTGTGGGCTGTGCTGTTCTTCGGGAGCTTTCATCTTTAGGGCTCCACTGTGTACTTTGCGAAAAGGGGGAAAATCTTGTTTGTGGAGCGAGTTCAGGAAACAGTGGTACGCTTCACACAGGCTTTGATGCACCCCTCGATAGCTTAGAGCTTCGTTGCCTTCAACGGGCGCGATCGTTGAACGAGAACTTTTTCATGGAATATAACATTCCTTACAGGCGATCTGGAGGTTTCATTGTCGCTTGGAACGAAAGTGATCTCAAAACATTACCCGAGTTAGTTGAAAAAGCTCACAAAACAGGAGTAACCGATGCAAGACAACTGACAGCGAGCGAGTTACTTCAGAGAGAGCCTAATTTGAGCTCCAAGGCGCTAGGTGCTGTGTTTGTGCCCGGAGAAAGTCTAGTGGATCCTTGGAAAATTCCTATAACGTTAGCTAATTTAGCACTAGCTCAAGGTGCCATGATACTTACAAGCTGTCATGTGACTGGTGGCAAAATGCAAGGGAATGATTGGCACTTGTCAACATCTAAAGGACCAATCATAGCCAAAGTTGTAGTCAACTGTGCTGGGTTATATGGAGATGAGTTAGAATCAATACATGGAAAAAGTCCCTTTACAATAAAACCTCGGAAGGGGCAGTATGCAGTGTTTGACAAATCTGCTGGACATCTATTGAATTCAATTATCTTTCCTGTTCCTACACCAAAGACAAAGGGTATTCTTGTGTTTCCAACTATCTATGGTAACATTGTGGTTGGTCCTACAGCTGAGGACCAGTTGGATCGCACAAATGCTGAAATTGATGACACAGTGATTGAAAGCTTGGTTAATTTTGCCCATACAGTAGTGCCCTCTCTCAGGGACCATGCCGTAATAGGTACATATGCAGGACTACGCCCAGCCACCGAGTTCAAAGATTATTGCATAGACTGTGACTCACAGAAGGGATGGGTTACAGTGGGTGGAATTCGCTCTACAGGACTTTCTTCTTGTCTTGGGATTGCAAAACACGTGGCATCATTTTTACCTTCCCTTGGACTTCAAACTAGTGATACCACACTGACACCAGCAGGTATGCTGGCAACAGCTGCTGATCACAACTGGACAGTCACACACCCTATTACAAAGTTTGGCATTTTTGGCAAAGACAGCTTTTCAAAGAAGGGTTTCTTGAAACAGTGAGGCACAGGTCAAACCAAAGACTGCCAGTTCAGAGTTCAAAATAAAAACAAAAGCCTGAATCTCTAGGCTATTTTTGTCAAGGCTTATTTTTCCCTGGCTGTTGATAATGAATAAGTTTGCTTTGTATGTGTTCAGCAATGGCTGATAATTTCAAATTGTAAGAACCACACATTATTTTGTTCCTGGTAATTTTGCCGCCCACCTTTTGCAAATCCCAGCATGTAAGGATCATATTGAAAGAATCAATTGGGAGATATTTGTTTTTTCTTTTTCCTGCTTTTGACATCACTGATTCAGATGTCTTGACCAACAAACTGATTCTATGAATGATGAAATTTTCACTTTTCTATGAATGTGTGTTTACTAATTAACGGAATCTGTGTGTATCTGGCACACCTGGGACCAAAATCTTTTTGAACTGAAATTTTACTTTCCTCCTTGAGAAACCTTGTAAAAATATAAAGTCATTTTAAAAAGATTTCGAACATAAATTGCACGTTTTACGCTTGAACAAACAGGTAAAAAAATCAGTCATTGATGGTGAACAAGAATTCTCTTTTTCAACTTTTGCAGCACGCTTTGAATTTCCAAACCTTTTCCTAGTCTTTCTACTCAGTTTAAAACGTTTCTAAAAAGTTTGTAAAACGTTTCTGGGCTGCTGTAAAATTTAATGTTTACAACAACATTACAGCAACTTCGATTTCAGTGGGCCGATCAAAGCATCACATTTTCTATTTCTTCTGTGAAAAGTCACCGGCAAGCGTGGTCAGAGAGTCGGCTGCCTTTGGTAGCCAGCTGCTATTTTGAACATTGGGGTTGTTGCTAGTCTTAAGCTTAGCTTATATTGTAGTTTAAGATGAACTCCATTAGGAAATTGATTAATTTTCAATGGATAAAAACCTTGTACTAGAATAACTTCAAGCACTGCATTCTTTTTCACACTTTTCAAGGGCTATAATGTAATAAGTTGTGTGAAATGACTCTGAAGTAAAGGTTCTTACTGGAGCCTGAGACTTCAAAAGCCTCAAATTTCACAAAATTAAATCTTATGCATGATTTGACCTGTGTGTTCTCAATTCCTGTGAAATGTGAAATTCATTATCTCAGGCTCACTTAAGAAATTGTCTTTGGTGTTACTACAGGTAACTAATTACATCTATGGCCCTTAAAAAGTGTAAAAAAGAATGCGTTTTGGCTTTAAATATTCTGGTGCAAGGTTTTTGTCTACTGAAAATTAAACTTAGTCAATTTGCTAACAGATTCCGTCTTAAAATTGAATTCTTTGTTCAATTTATTTTACTGATAATATTTTCCTTATGCTTTTATAGCCTGTGAAGGGATGCCCCAGCAAAGCATCTGATTACAGTGGCTAAGTTTTATACTAATTTTCTTTTAAAAAAATCATTATATTAACTACTATGTTATCACTCAAATAGAAAATAACTGGGATAAAATAGAACGTCAATAAGTGCAAACCACGCACTCGGCTTAAGAAGTGTTTTATTTCCACCCGAATAAGAAATAATTTTTCATTTAAAAAAAAATTTATTAAATTTTAAATCTGTTACAATATTTGTGGCTTTCATTCCATTCATTTGAATTTCAGGGAATGCATATGGACAAAAATAAAAATACTATAATTAACAATTTTTGTCCAGGAGAGCTGAAAAATCACTAAAATAAATACATGACTGTCTTTTATGTTCTGAATGGAGGAAAAATGTTAAAATTTTAACTAACAATTATTTATGACTTTTGCTGCTATGACTTTCTAAATAATTTTAGCAATGATATACCGGTATTGTTCAGTATAATAGTTATTTTTATCTAGGAGAGCTGAAAAATCGCTAAAATAATACTTGACTGTATATTCTTAATGGAGGAAAAATGTTAAAATTATACCTAACAATTTTTGACTTTTGCTGGCTTTCTAAATAGTTTATCAATAATATACCAGTACTGTTCAGTATAATAATTTTTGTCTAGGAGAGCTGAAAAATAACTAATACATGTCTGTATTTAGAATTATTCTTCTGAATGGAGGTATCAATAAATAATCCAGTGCAAATAATGTCAAACCAAGAAAAACTGATACTTATGAAGCTGATGCCCAAAGAAAAAAGGAATGAGAGCGGGAATGTACCAAATCAATGTTCTTTTAAAGTTTTTCCCCTTATTGTCAAACTCAGAAAACCCTGAACACCTAAAAATGTGAGGAATGTTACAGTGCAACCGGGAAAACTGTGAACACTTGAAAAATCTCAGGAATGTTTATTGTGTTACTACTGTTATGACCAATCACAGCAAAGATCAGAACATGCAAACAAGCCACACAACCACAAACTAATTAATGTTCTTGCTTGTGGTTCAGTTTTCTCATGCCTGATTGGCTTTTTTCTTGCAACACAACATTCCAGAGATATTTCTGGTGTTCATGGCTTTGCCGGTTTGACTGTAATGTTGTGTAGTGCCCAATCACAATAAAATTCAGGACACTCGAGTAAACCTCAAAACCACAAACTAATAATATTCATTTACCATTGTTGTTTCCGGTTTAGTTTTCCCACGCATTATTGGCTATTTCCTCGTAACAGAATAGCATCCATAAATATTTCTGGTGTTCATAGTTTGGTGAGTTTCACAGTAACAAACTGACTACAATCTATGAAGATCAAGGCTGGAGAGTGGTTTAGCTAATAAAATTAATATGCCTGAAAAGTTTTCTGCAAAAACTTAAAGAACAAAATAATACAGTTAAGAGATCTCTGCAAATGTACAGAGACATACTAGGGCTGGTGCAAATTGGAGAAGTGAGGAAATTATTCTGAAAAATGAAGAGGCTTTTCTTGTGTTCCTAATAGCAACAAGATGTCAGAATGTACCTTATCTCAGAGGAGTGCTTATGCTTGGCAGAGTGGAGGTGCACTTAATGAGGGGATGTGATAACTGTGTCAACCAAGTGACACTGAAGTGTGGCTGGCCCACACTCTAAAAGTAGACAAAAATACTTTCACGGCTTGTTGCCCTTTGCAAGCTTGCTTAAAATAATTATATTTTGGTTCCTTAAATTAAGTTTTTAAATTAAAATGAGCTAGTTGATAACTTACGTAGTTACATGGCTTATAAGTACACTAGGAGAGTACTTAAAGTGAACATTTTGTTAACAGTAGCCTAAACAGTTGCTTCATGATCTGCCAAGGGCTCGAGTTCATTCTCATCAGTGCTTTGATTTTCAAGCATAATGGCATCTCCATTTGACATGTTAACGGCGGCCGCAGATTTCTCTTTCTTTGCATCCCTTGCAAACCAACATGTCGCCCAAACAGAATCTACTACCATAATTCCAAGGTGAATGATGATCAATGGCAAGCTTATCAGCCCTTGCTCAGCTTGCGTAAATGGAAGAAATCCTGAAACAGTCACGGCGACTGCCAGCGATTTCTGGCTTGCCATTATCATGACTGACTTTAGAGATGGTTTTTCCAGTTTAAGAATAAGGCATGGAGGATATATAACGAAGATAAAGAGGACATGCATTGCCAAACCCCATCCAAGGACAGCAAAAATACTGGCAACTGAGATTTCAGTAAAGGCATTTTCAGCACTTGCCTGGCTAACTTTCATCCATGGTATCATTGTAAGGAGTACAATAGAAATCATCTTGAGAGTGTTGGAAAATCTTTTGACACATGGTTTGACATATGGCACAAATCTCAGTCCTTTGCCGACCTAAAAAGAAGAAAAAAAAATAATAATAATAATAGTTTAATATTTATATTGCACAAAATAGATGTAAATATGATCAAATGCGCATTACATGAAAGTAAATTATTAACATTAATAAGTTATCCAAAATAACTAAAAACATTATATAAAAAAAACAATGGATCTATAAAAATATAATATACCGGGGTATACATAATCCTAAAAAATCCTAATAAAAAGCTAATCTAAAAAAATGGGTCTTAAGTAAACCATTAAACCTATGAAAATTGGGCTCATTTCGCATTTGTGATGGTAACCCATTCCACAGTTTAGGTGCGGCAGCTAAAAAAACACGGTCACCCAACGTAAAAAAAAGAGATGAAAAGCCCTTAATTACTATAATCAAAATAGCAAAGACTACTTTTCCTCTATGTACAATTCTGTTGATGCTCAATGTTTTGCTCAATGTTCTTCGGCAACGATTTGATTGGTGGTAATTGACAATAGCAAACTGATGCGTCCAGCCATCTGTTCAGGGGAGGAACATGGGCTCATTTCTTGAACAGCCGCTGGTAATTGAGCCTAGGGAGCTGCCTGCTCGGTTTCCTTTAAATTAATTGTTAGAAACTCAACGAAAAAAGTTTGTTTAGTCGGTATTATGCCTGGTTTAATACATCTACATACCAAAAGTGGCAGCAGCACAGTCAGTACAAGTTTAACTAACAGTGCGATAGCATCCAACTTGACATCCTCAAATGCTATAATCCAGGCCACCAGTGGTGGCACAGTAAAAACAGCAGCTAAGTTACAAAACACTGTGAGCATTACAGACAATGCTACTGCACCTCCAGCTTGGGCTGTCTGCAGGGAAATAAAGGAATCAAAGCCTAAATATTTATTGTAAAGATTTGAATTACCTAAGATAGATAATAAAATTTCATATTATCATTATTGAACTCTGACCTCATTTAGGATACCAACATTCCTTGTAATGGGAAAAATAATAAGGATTGAGAAATTTCACAAACAGAAACCAAGACATTGACTTGTTTTATTACTAACAATGTAAACAATATATATCAGCCTATGTCTGCTGAAGGTAAACAAAAGCCCCAAAGGACATACAAAATTACACAAATTAAAATTAACTTAACTTAACTTAAGGGCTAAAAGCTCCCCCAACCCTCGCCCCCTGCCACAAGGAAACACTCTTTCTCTTCTTTTTTTAAGTCAGTGACACAGGCATCTTGCAAAAATAGAAATTCTAAGTTGTCCCAAAGGGATTCGAACTTATGATCTCCCAGTTAAAATTGTTCAGACGCTCCTCTGCTGAGTAAACAGGTTCAACCTGTGGAAGCTAAGGCCTATCTTTAATTATAAACTGTGCCCCTTTGTTCCCTGGAGTTAGTGCATTTTAGCCAATATCCAGACATCTTTTATTTTCTTTGCTATAAATAGTACAAAGAAAATAGGAGCCATCAGTAACATGCTAAGTACAGTTAAGCCTGGCACCAAATTTGTCTGATCATATTAGGACAGTCTGAGTCCAAAAGAATGTAATAATAATGTAATCATTTAATATGGCTTTATCCCTGAAAAGTTATTGTTGAAGGTGCTTTGGGGGGGGGGGGGTGGAGACTGCCCCACTCTCCCCCCCATTTAAACAAAAAATGCTGATTTTTTTTCCCACCCGTGTGACCCGAGGGGTACTCCTGGGAATTCTTGGTGGGGATGTGCCGCCTGGTTCTCCAAATCTTGACCCTATTTCAGACCAAAAGTTATCATTTTCCACACCTGTTTTCAGACCTGGCATCCAAAATCCATACCCATTTTAAGACTCGGAATAGGTCCAAATTATGTCATCATTACTTAGATTAGAATGCCAACAAAAAGATTTCTTTAAAACCATTTCGAATTTCCCACATTACTCTTTTTTTCTTATTCATATGGAATTGAAATGACAAATACATTAATACACTCCCATAGTTCCCTTGAAAACCACACCCCATTCCGGACCAAATTGGGCAAAATCTATACCCTTTTTCAGGCCGGAACGGTGCAATTGAAAATCATACCCTTTGGGGCGGCACAAACCTATGTCGCCCACTTATATAAGAAAGTACTCCCTGGTCTGTGTAAACGCCTTTTTTTCAAAATTTTCCCCAGCAGGAAAAAAAATATTTCCACTGCAAACCAGACAAAATCAATTCACATCAGTTCTCAAATGCTCCCGAGCCACCCCTCCCTGGCTCATTCCTTACTCGTTCCCACAATATAACTCACCAGTATAACTCCCCCGGCAATTGTACAAGGAACGATGAAGTAAATCTGAATTCCTATTTGAAATAAAGCTGGGCCAAGAATCGAGATACCCTCAACCGTAGTAGGTGGAGAAGAGGTTCCATTTCGTGTATGATTTCCATTCGAGAAAACACCATTGTCCTGGGGTTCAAAGTCCTTTGTCGCGTACGGCTGATAGGGTAACAACCCAGTAAGATGTCCTCCGATTATTGGCGTTAAACACATAATACAAATGACTCCCCATATAAAAGCCTTGTACGATTTCAAAGCGTCTTTTACTTCTCCTGTTTTCAGTTTGAGTCCGCTGTGAAGAAACAGACCTATGACGCAAATGTACTGAGTCGGCAGTTCGCTGAAGAAAACGCCGGGTTGTGGAGCAACGATTCCCAACACGACAAAAAATACAAGGCATATGGGCAAAAAATTTTTAAGTACGCCTGTCTTCACCCTGTTCCATACTGTTGGCCGTGGTGTTTCAGAGGACGACTTTTCCGAGGGAATACCCTCACCTTCTTCTATGTCTTTACCCGCCATTGGAAAAATTTTATAAACCTCATGCAATTGTTATGCAGATTTACATATCGTTTCGTTTGTCACGTGGTTAAAACTTGATCCGCGGGATTTTACAGGCCTTGGTCAAGCGTGACCCGTCACATGTGAATGATATCACTAAATAAAATTAACTGAACATAGGATGGCCAACGAAGGAGAAAGAACTTGTTGTAATCTTTGTAAAAACATGTGCATCACAGCTTCAGGCTGATAACTGGAAAAGCGTATTCGAGTGACACACGTCTGCAACCGGAAGTGACGCTGACAAATTCCTAATGCTTTTCGTGTCATTGCTGTTATAGAGAAGACTCAAAAGGCGAAACCACTGCTGAGTTTTGCAAAAAGTCCACTTCCGGTTAACGTGCGCGGCTCAATTGTGCAAAGCTCTGCTAAAAGTCTTTGATTCAAAGCTCTAAAAGGATTTCAGGGGATCGGAGCGGGGGAGCGGGGTTGGAAGGAGACAACCACAAAAGGGAGGCAGACTGTTGCTTCCGTCCCTTCTCCTCTCTCCCTAGTTTCCATCACAGTCTCGCAGCAAATGGTGAGGAGGATGGGGATGAAAGGCGGGAAGAAGAAAGGAGAAAAGGCCCCTTGCTGTCACTCCTTTCGCTTCTCTCTTCCTCATCCAACCAAGAAACGCCTGTCACCCGATATTCAAGCAAGTTAAAAAGCAAAGTACATTTTTTTCGGCCATGTCGTCGACTGTTTCAACAGGTGTCATAGTTGTATTGTTGGGGCAAACCTCAAGTCGCTTTTCTCTTTGCTGTTTTGTTCATGTCTACAAGTTTGGGTCCCCTAGTAAAAAAACGTCTGTAAACCTTCGAGACTCCACGTTCGCTCGTTTCTGGCCCATCATCGTCAGCATCATGTAACTAGGCAAGTTCACGAACTGTAAGGTGCTCTTTTTAGCAGTCTCGTTGAATTTTCGCTGATAATCAACCATTGTCAAAAGTTGAAATAACACCGTGGCAAGGTCTCGGACCAAAGAAATATTTTCTGGATCCCAGTAGAAGTAATGACTAAATTGCAAGCGTACGGAGGAAACTATACAATTTTTAGTAAAGGCTATAAGCATTAAAAAAGAAAAAAGCTGACCATAAATCACTTATAAAGTAATGAATATTTAAACAGCCGCCAACAAGGTTGGTTGTACTCAGTTCGAGAACTAAAGCCTGAATAACAGGCGCTTTATGAGGCGAACGCGGCGTCAGTGCAATCGTCAGCAGTCTCGCGCTTCGCACAAAATGCGGCGTTCGTCTCGCTTGGCTCATGAAGCGCCTGATATGCAGGCTAGGAGAACTACGACGCGGGCACTACCACGAATCTTCAGATTGATTTGAATACCCCCCACCCCCAAAAAAACCTACTTGAATCCATGCAACCAAAAAAGAAAAATACTTGCCAAACTTTCCAACCCCAAAAATCCCGGAATCGAAAATTTCAAATCCCCCCAAACTGAATTCCTTCGATCAGGGCCCGTCACTTGAAATCCGAAGTACTACCCTTCCCCCCACCCCCGCCCGCCCGCCCGCCTGGTTGCAAGATCTCTGAGCGTCTGAGACGGAAAAGCCTTCTTTAATGCCGAGCCAGTATCAAGAGCTCTTAAGCCGACGAAAGCCAGGCGATTTCCTATGTTTTGCTGCCCAAGATTCCTTTGCATACTAGTCAAGATTTTTTAGCTCAGAAACAATTAACAAAATTTGAAATTTTGATTTGATCGAGATTTTGTAGCTCACAAACGTTAACGAAAATTGAATTTTGCATGTCCACGCGAATTAAATACAGGCTGTATATAACTCTCCGATGCCCAGACATCATACCAAGTCCCGAAATAATTTTTAGTTTCCAAAAATGCTTCCAATCCAAATAATCTTCTTAAAAAGGCTTCCTTTCCTTCACAATCGTTTTTTTTAATCTGGAAATTTCCTTTAAGTGTCGATTAAGTGATAAAACCCTTTTACAAGGGGTGATTTGCAAATCGGCTCTCTTTAGTACGGAAGTCCTTCAAAGTTTCTCATTAGGTTTACGGCGACAATTTCGTAACATTTTTTCACGGTATTTGTCGCTAGATTAGTGGCAGAGACAAACGCAGCAAAAATCACAGTCGGATGTTAATGTACGAATTTTTAATCTGATTTTTAAAGATCTCTAACTCTGATCCCTTCCCAAATTTGCACGAATCTGTATTTTGCCGGGCTTGACCGCATTTAAATGTAATAGAGAGGGACAAAATAAAAAAAAAAATATGGCTCTGACAGTTATCTATCGGTCGTAACCGTACATCAGTAGGATGCCAAAAATGCGTGCGATTCCACTATAAGCTTCGGCGGATAGTAGTAGAATAAAGAGGGTTATAGTGACCGATTTAAGTCTTATCATTGTTCACCAGTTTTACAAGCGCGCGCTCGCGCGCATGGTAGTAGCCCACCAAAAATACAGCGTTCGATGAGTTCTGCGCACATTGATACACTCCCGGACCTCCCGGGGCGGGCATACACTTACCTAGAATCTTTCACTGAAAGGGGTAGATCTTCGCTAGAAATAATCGTCTCCATCATGTCAATAAAGGTTTTGATTTATAAATAAACTCTAACATGTAGACTAAATCACACCAGTTATTTAGGGCAAACTTCTCGTTCAATTATTTTCTTTATAGCCTAAGTGAGGCTTAATTAATATAGGATCTTTTTTTATTGTCTTGTAGAATATTTATAATAATGATTTTAACCTGTCCATATCTTTACTATTTGTACATTGTATACTTCAATATTGTAAAATATTTTATATAATTGCAAAGGGTTGAGCTTTTTCTTCTATTTCAAGCACAACACTGTTAATTGTACTTCATATTTGTCACTATGCCCATCGTATCATCATCATCACATGTCTCGTCGCGCCAGTAGGAGCTTAAGGCCTCCACGCTGTCTGCCCAACACTTACTGTCTCGTGCAACCGCTTTGGCTACTCCCCACTACTTTCTTTCTTCCACCCCGCTTTCTTTCTTTCTTTCACAGATTTCAAAGTTAGTCTGACAAAAATAATCTCACCACAATGTGGCCAAGGGGTGAATGGGTCACGGACAGGCCGATTGTTCCATCAGACCAATTGGCCTCTTAAGAAATAAGAAGGGACGCGGAGCAGGGACACGCCGGTCAGCTATTGGCCAATGTTTTTTCCCTGTCCCATGTAACAGCCCCAGAAGTTTTTGCAATCGTTAACTCGTCACAGTTTCCTTTTGGTTTCTAAAGTGGCGAATGCACTTGGCTGTTTTACAGCATCAGGGTGGACACCAGGGCCCAGTTGTTCGAAAGCCGATCAGCGCTTAACCCAGGGGTAAAATTTAACCCGGGTTTCTTTTTTTTTTGCTCAAAAACATTTTCTCGGATAATTTTCTGTGTTATTTTTAAGAGCATTTAATCATCAACTTGCTGACAAAAAGAATTAAACTGAATTTACTTTTTAACCTTTCATATCTGAATTCAGATATGAAAGGTTAACCCAGCTTTGAACAACCTGGCGCTGAGGGTCAGAGGGCGAGGGGAAGACCAAAAACTACTTGGAGAAGGACAGTCAAGAAAGAGCGAAACAAAGCGAGGTGGTAGAGCTGGGAAGTAGCCAAAGCGGTTGCACGTGACAGAAAGTGTTGGTCAGACAGCGTGGAAGCCTTATGCACCTACCAGCGCGATGAGACATGATGATAATGATGATGATGATGAGATGAGGATGAATGCACTTGGCACTGTTAAATATCTAAGACTCTCCCCATTCAGAGTACACACAACGATGTACACACTGTTAAAATATTCTTGTTATAAGCACAAAAGCAGCAAAAGCTAGAGTGAGGTAAACCCAAGCTTTGTGTTGAAAAGGTGACTTGTGGTGATGGATTTGGCACCATTGGGGAACTGTTCTATCCAGTTTGTCCCTGGAATACAATACAAGTAAACCTGGAGTCACAAACATGATAGCCAGTCCAGCAAATGAACCCTGTTGATGGATTGAAGCAAATACAATTGTTAGTCAAGAACACATGACATGTCTTGTAAAAAGGACTTAGGGAAGGTAACAGTGATTTCTGAAGAGCATGACAGTGTGACAAAGTCTCATTGTTCTTCCCACTTGCTTCGCATCTTATGAGCTGAATGTGTCAACTGGTGTTTGAAAAGGATAATCCTTTAAACAGCATTCATGGTACGTTCACTCATTGTTTTTGTTTTGCAAATTTTATCTGTACAGAATTTTACTGCAATTTGCAAATTAGTAAATTTAAAAAGAGCAAGATGTGTGTATCATATGCTTATGAGTAACACTGCATGGTTCATCTTTACAGTTTTATTGGCTGGCCTCAAAAAATGGAAGGAAAGTCAAACTTTTTGCAGCAGTTAATACATCTAGGGTGAATGTGGGGTTCAGAGAATAAGAAACAATAAATGATTTTTCAGTTCACTCACTGTCAGAGCCACTAACTGGCCAACATCATGTATGAAAATGGCAATAACTACTGGAGGCACGAGGGCAATTAGTGTGAAGAGTTGCTGCCTACAAAAAATATCCTGAAAAAAAAAAGCCATTATAAATCGATTAATTTTCATTATATCATCATAATTACTGGTATCATCTCTAGTGGTGGATATGGAATCTTGAGGAAATAGGGAACACTCACCCGGGCCTTGTGACAAGGTAGGGTGGCTGGATGGGAGCTGCCATCTTGGACAAAAAGTGTTAAGAATTTGGCACTTTGTCACCTACAGGATGCCCACACGACAGATTTGCTACCTCAGTAAACCCTTCCCCCACCCAACTCTGATTGATGTTGCTCAGTCAGGAGCAAAAATGATCCAACCAGACTTGAATATTATTTTGGGGGGAAATAGGGAGGATTTTTAATCAGTGGGTGAGCTGTAGCCTGAGATAAGACATACAACACCCATTTTTCATTATAACATTTTTTACCAAGACTGTGCATCCATTCCCAGGATAATGAGATTCATTATAACAGTACCTACGCTTCTCTAGCAAAAAAGTGAACTCATATAAAACTTGGTTCTAACAAAAGAAAAAATGTCTTTTTGCTTAAATATGAGGCTCAAAATCGTGATTGGAGGACGAGGCCATGTCCCGTCGGTAATTTGCTACTGTATCTGTGCTTTCCTTCATTGCTGTCACAATTTTAACCCATCTCTCAGGGCCTCGCGAGGGAGCAATAACAGGGCAAAACACAGATTGTATTCAACTCTAATATAAAAGCAATGTTTTGATTAAACATACCTTTGATATTGGAAAAAGTGTCATTAAGTTATTCCTCAGGGTTATGCAGATCAGAGGAAAGTTACTACTCAATGTAAACACAGGATACAAGCTGAGGAACTTGGCCAAGACAGTGACAGAATGATCACTGAAGTTTAACGAGTACAGCGGACTTATCTGCGATGCTGGCTTGTTAATGACCGCAGAAAACACAATTATGCTGCAATACAGGAGTACAATGATGTAGTCTATCAATACAACCCTCAGAGTTTTGCTTTTATCAGCCAGAGGAAGTATAATGGAGGGAATGGTGTGCTGGCACATGAATGTGAACACTGTTATTCCTATAAGCTGGAACAATTACAAAAAATAAAAATTAGAATAGGCCAGGGCTTTAATGGAATGGAAGGAATTAACTTGCTGAGATTGATTAACCACTTGCTGATTTTGGCAAAATTAGGAAATGATGTGATCAACATGTCACGAGCACGGGACAAAGAAAAAAATCTGAGTCCTGGAAAGGAACTAAACCTATGACCCTCTGTACACTGGTCCGATGCCCTGACCACTGAGCTACAAAGGACTTGTGGTGAGCTGGGCCATATACAAGGTTTGTGTATTACATGCGCTCTGCATACTGCTTGGATCAGCAATGTTGAAATGGTCATGTGTGTGATAATTAAAGAATAATGGTAAATTTTAAGCTCAGTGAAGAAATGAGAAATAATGTGATCAACATGTCACAGGCACTGATTTTGTTTTTCAAACATCTCTGTGGAAGACTTTTTTATCCCGCAAAATATGTAGTGGTCTTCCATTCCTATGATTAGTGATATTCTTCATGGCTTATGGAAATAAAATGATCTCAAATATATACATGTAAAAAAAGAATTTAAGGCAAGATGACACATTTGTAAAATTAATTAAGGTGCATATGTTTAAAATGAAGATTTAAATTAACTTAATTTGATATTTACTAAAAGAACTGAAATATTAATAGATGAAACACACCTCTTTTGACTTTTCTGTGTCCCATAATATCAACTGATCAGATGGCACATAATGTCCATTTGCAATGTCTAAAACTGTCAACAAAATCATTAAGCCCATGGCAGAGTTCCTCATAACCATGGTAAACAGCTGAAGATATGTAGTCTTTTGAAAAGTGAAAAAACAAAATGGTCCTATTAACATGATAAAGCCCCAGAGGAAAGAATAGTAAGATATTTGATGACTTGTTCCAACAGCTTTCTCAAGTGTTGTGGCTACTGAGACAGCATAAATTGCCAGATCCTGCAAGTGAAGAGAAGACCGTCACAAACCTCATTGTAATGATAAATAGAGTTGGTGAAGGCTATGATCTGCACCTTTAGCTATAAATTTAATTCTTGGAAGCAAACTGATACATTAACCTACGAAAACCTAATATCTGTATGAATTTTCCCTGCACTGTTCTCCATGCAATTCATTTTGAACTGATGAGGAGAGCACCATGGGAAAAAAAATTTCATTATCTATGCATCTATCCAACCACACCACAGGCAAACCAATGTGAAATGTCACATTTCTAGCTAGAATGGAAGCCTGTAACCTGTGTTTAACTTGATGATATTGACAGCTGTCAAATCATGGCATCCGCTGACTGGCATCACGTGACCATATTGCAACTCAGGTGCCAACTTATTGAGGTCACATGTATTTTTTTGAGGTTTTCCGCTCACCGGTTATTATCTTTTAATTGATCACAAGCTCAAGTTTATGTTTGTCAGCTAGTCCTCAAAAGTCCTATGGTCATTTAGTCCTCCCCTAAGATTATAGATTTCTTTGCAGTGGCTCCACAAGTTTGTTGTCTGAAGTAAATTATAAACGTCTACATGGAAGCTTCCCTTTTCGCCCTGGCTAAATTTATGTTGGTATTATTTTTACCACCATCAATCAAGGAGAACTTTGATGCTAGTCAAGGAAGCATACTCATGGCACCCAACAATGGTATAAATATCTATTCTAAAATGGACTGAAAAAAACTGAAAGAATTGAACAAAAAAAATCCAGTGATAACAGGTATAATTCATGATTATCACCTTTTTCCCTGATAGTCCCCAGTCAAATACAATGCAACTCAAAGACCGTGGTACAGCTGTTAGTATAGACATGTGCCACTTAAATTTTAATACTAATGATGACCAAAGGTTAGGGAGTGTAGGTGCAATCTGTCGAAGATCAAAATGTTCTTGCTCCAGTGCTATGCTTTGCATAAGTTTCACACGACAGAAGGTCAAAATGTGCCTGATCAGATTATGAGAAATAGAAGACTGCATTCTATGCTTTCCATTTATTATTAGTGGGAGTGCAAATGAATGCTGGCTACACAATGCCGAGCATGTGTAAATAGAAACTTGGAGATTAGGGTTGTGATTTTCTCTGGTCACCGGTAAAATTATGAACAGACGGATTGTACTTACCCCATATAAATATAAGCAAAGTACAGCATAGAAGAACGTAGATCCTGCAGTCCCCAGAAACAGCTCTGCCATATAACCCATTTCAAATTTCTCTTCAATTTCAAATAGTGGAGCAGAGAATACATCATTCTTGACTTTTATCTGACTAATCTGTGCCACACTGTCATCTTGTGCTGGATATCCTTTTACCAAAGCTTTCCTTGCTACTACAGTCTTTGTTCCCCGCCATGCATTTGCCGTTGCAAGAACTTCTATCATAAATGTAACGCTTATAAATGCCATAAAAGACACAGTAGTAAGGCTTAGTATCCCTGCAATGACTCCAGCTTTGGCAATAGCTGAAGGAAGAGCAAGAATTCCAACACCAACAAGAAGATTGAAGAGGAAAACAGCAGCAACCTGAAAAAAATAAAACATTGGAATTTTTTTGAAAAAAGGTTGCACGAGAATGATCGCGTTCATCAGAATGCATCCTAATCTGGTGTTCCTGTGGCACAAAGGCAGAAATTTTCGAGATGTCATGGGTGACTGCCAATTAGCCATCCCTAATAATTTTATCAGGAGCATCTTGGCCAGGAAACTGGACTCCTTTTGACTCGATTTTGTTTCCGTAAGTCATGAACGCAGATCAGTAATCAATGATTACCTCTAGTTTAATTATTAAAGGCCAGTTTTAAGCTTAAACTGCTGATCATTTTTTATTCATTAATTTTGCTTCAATGCTTATGATAATTGTGTTGAATTTCTGCCTGCTTATACTTTATCAGCACCCCTTTAACAAAAACTTACTTCAAACTTTTGATATCTCACCGTCATAGGCTGCTTCTTTCCATCCCAAACTTTGGTAAGATTTCCTTACATTTTTGAAAAATAAAGAAAATAACTGCAAAAATTTTGAAAATATTTTAAATTTTTTTTCCATCTGTTTTTCACTTTGCTATGCTATTTTTTTCAGACATTGACGTTACGGTAAAGCATCAGATCGGTATGACCTGTTTTTTTCAATCAAATGCCAAAATTGTGAGTGAAACAAATAGCAAATGAAAACAAGCATTCATCATTAGACTACTGCTGTACCTAAAAACACCACGAGTTCTCGTCTTTCACTTTGATGTCTAACAATTATGTCAATTACAGTATTGAGTAATCATAATTAATTCCAAACACACCTTGGCAGAGTAGCTAGAAGATGAAGGATTACTTTGAAGTGTTTTTCCAGACATGAGTAGAGTTATCAAGACTACAGAAACCTACATAAAGTGATGCTAAATCAAATATTTGAGTACGTGGTGGTCGCCATCTTGTTTCGCAACATATCGAGAGAGACTGAGTAACACAACTCTCCTCCCAGACTTCTCTCGTTACTCATCCATCATGGCGCCCAAAATGTTTGAGGTTTCCTTCAAGGAAAATTACGCAATATTGTCCATGAAATGCGGGGAAAACAGATTAAATCCCAAATTTCTCGAAGATTTTCATTGTGCTCTGGATAAAATCGAAAGGTATTTGATTTTATTCTCGTGAGGGTGTGGAGTGTGATCTGTGAAAAGCTGAAAATATGTGGGAGTCTGATTATTATTCCTTCTGTATGAAGGGAACGTTGCCAGGCTAGATTCCAGAATGCTGGACCACTTATTTGCGTCTCGTTGACAACAGAAAAGATGGAAGCATTTTTTATTTTCAGTTATTTAGTTCAGTCTACTGCTAAATACTTTAAGCCTGTGCACCCCCCATGCCATACCCCCAACGAGATCTTCCCTCCTCCCCCTCCTCCTTTCTCTTTCTCCTTAGGGAAAAGCCCTGGGAATGCGGTTGAACCCTGCTCCAAGGTGTTTTAATTTTGTAACTTACAGTCAAGGCAGGTCAAGCGTACTCCTCAAAATTCTACTACTGAATTGATTATTTGAAAGATGAATCTGTCAGTCGTTCCCATGACTACTGTCAAATTCAAATCGGCATTCCAGCATGCATGATGAGCAGTGAATATTTTATGAGAACTTCTCTGTATTTGGTCAGATTGAAAATCTCTCAAATTATTGATAAAATTGCTTCAAAGACATTCACATCAAATTCAGGGAAACTGAGCTGGTAAAAATTTCATAACTGCCTCGCGTGTTAATTCACGGCTCATTACGTATGCAAGAATGCAGAGATGAATCTGAAATCTACAACTACCAACGGTTTCAACTTTTGAATACAGTTGAATCTCCCGTAAGCGATCACCCAAAATGCAAAGACTTACTGATTGCTTATGGGAGGTGGTCGCTGACAAGAATTGAACCACAGGGGACCTCTTCCGAGAAGAGGTCTGGGCACGTCTACTTTATGGGAGATAATTTATTGCATGCAATTTCTAACTTATGCCACATGTAGTTCCATGTTGTTACTAAAGTTCTTTGTACATGTCGTATATTCTTAGTAGAATAGTGCACACAGCGAACAGAGAGATCAGAGAATACGACAAGTGGTTGCTTACAAGAGCTTAAAAACGATGGAAAATCTTTAAACTTTCAGTCCCAAAAAGTGGTCGCAGTCACTTACAGGAGGTGGTCGTTTACTAGAGGTTCCAACTGTGAGGCTTTGACTGGGAAAATTTTGGTGTTTTGGATTGGCGGTTGCTTATGGGAGGTGGTTGCCTATGGGAGGTGGTCACTTATGAGAGGTAGTTGCACATGGGGGTTCGACTGTAATAAATACATTAGGGACCTTACGAAACCACGACGATGACGGCAACAGGAACCTCAAAAAACAATAGGTTTAATGAGCAAAACAAAAACTGTGCATGTGCATTGCGCTTTTTTGTACATTGCTTTGCCTTCACTGCATAACTACGACCTGAAATGACCAAACTTTAAGTTTACTTGGGAACGGGAATGGCAAGACGATAAATTCTACCATCTCTGTCCGCACTTTAGTGCATTCCCCTCTCTTCAGCTCCAGCTGAAATCCCCTTCTTATAAGTAACAGAGCGAATTGGGATAATCGTGAAAAAGTTTAAAATAATGCGAGGTCTGTTTTTCAGCAACGTTTTCATGGATGTTACCATTGTCAGATTGTAAGGTCCCTATTAATGGAATCTTGGGGATCTTGGGGAACATGCTTGACCTGGCTTGACTGTAAACCCACGTCTTGCACTATTTGACGATCTTTTGATCTTATTTTACCTTACCTGGAAACAATTAGCCCAGTTTTTTAAAACATAATCTGCAGTCCTCATTTTATACCTGGTCCATGTTTTATACCCAGTCTGCAGTCCGTGGTCCACATTCCGCAGTCTGTGTTTTATAACTGCTTCAGCTCCATTTGACTTCTTGTTCAGTTCCTTGCCTGCCATTTGAATTTTAAAGGTACTCTTTTGCCTGTACAAGTTTTAAATGCTGACTGCTTCCCCTCAGTATTTTATTAAGTACAAAATGTAGGTATCTATATTTTGGGGAGTTTATTAAGTTCTAAGGGTCTAAGCTCTAAGGTGCAAGTGTCCATGGGTTCAGAAGTTCGTGGGGGAGGAACACGACGAAGCCCATAGAATACCAGTGTGGGATACGAGATGTTTAAAGAAAGATCTCATGTATTTTGCCTTTTTTTTCAGAAACAAAGATGTCCAGTTTCTGATAACGACAGGAGATGGAAAATTCTATTCAAATGGCATTGATCTTGAGTTTCTTGGAACGTGCACTGCAGAAGAGAAGCTGAAAACAATAAATGCCTTTCCATTAGCTATACTGAGATTGCTTACTTTTCCAGTGCCAACCATTGCTGCACTAAATGGTACATTTTTCCTTGGGGGGATGGGTTTGTAGTTCTCTGAGGGCAGAGTACTTAACCTTTGTTGGGGCATTTTATTTCTGGGATAGTCAGTAGGGCCATCATGATTGATTTTTGAAGCAGCTAATAGAAACTAGACTTTCACTGGGAACATCTCATAAGGAGATTATGGCCTCTTATTTAGCTTCTCACTTTGATGACTTGTGACATATCGAAGACAGCTCAGCTGGAACAGATGTTATTGGTTAAGGCTCTTTGTTGGAGATGTGCAAAACACAACATTCCTATTTGAATGCTGCTGATGCACCCCTTTTATAACATAACCTTTTCTGCTGATCCCCCTTGCCTACCAATAATAAAATATTTTCTTATCTTCCTACTGACATTGTCTTCCACTTGATGAAGAAACCTATCTTAACCTTGGTTGCTTATTAAATTTTTGGACTCTGAGAGAGAGGGTGAGGTGGGTGCTTATTCGAGGCTGGTTGCTTATTAAATTTTCACAATTTTTAGCAGTAGTAATTTTATGTTGCAACCAAATGTAAAGGAATTCAAAAGCAGAATTTTAACTTTTCATTGAAAGTTTCTTTAAAAGACTAAGAAAATTTGGTCTTCAAGTAGAACTTTCTCTATAACTATTTCCAGCTCATGATCAGTAAGGTCATTTTCTTTTTAGGTGGGGACTGGTAGGGGGGTGGGTGCTTATTCGAGGCTGGGCATTTGTTAACTTGTTCTGCCTGTAGGGCGGGTGGTTATTTGATGTGGTTGCTTATTCAAGGTTGGGTGCTTAATTGAATAAATGCTGTACATCTGTTATAAAGACATCACTGTATGAAAAAGAACCTTTTTAACAAAATTCTTGTATTAATTTATCAAGCCTTTTTCTTTAGTCCAGTGTGAAAGTCAGTTGGTTTTCGTCTAACCCTCTCTTCCCTCTACTAGCAAATAACATACCAGTATTCCATACTTACCAGTTAGCGTTCATGTTCACAGGGCATGCTTTTGCTGGAGGGGGAATACTGGCTCTTGCACATGACTACAGAGTAATGCGAACCAAGCGAGGCTGGTTCTGCCTTCCAGAAGTAGATCTTCACTTGCAGTTTGGGAAAGCAAATTTGTTACTGCTAAGGTATGTCACACCACTGTAATATAATAATAATTATTCATACTTTGCTATAAATATCTGACCTAGGTTCTCTCAGTGATTGAAGAATAATGCCAGTCATTGAATGTTTTTGTCAGTAGCCTCTGAAACTATAAATCACCAATCTAGTAGAGTTGATGGGCACTTTTTTGAATCGGTTGTGTTATAAATATTTGGGGATGGTGCTTGCTAGTTGTATCTCTTACAGTTGGCAGATATGGATGATTGGCTGGTATGACTGTCACTCTAATATTTACCGGTAATTCTGAGGAATCTTGAGGCATTACCATTCAGATGAGACCTGTATTTGCAAAATGGGATTTTAAAACCTGAGTTATGCTAAGCACATAATAGACAATGTCACAAAGTTCTTTGATGACAATACTAGTCCCAGGACTCCACAATAGTACAATAATATTAATTTTATTTTCAAGGATTTTGCAAAAAAGATATTAGGAATTTCTGTGAATTTTTATATATTAAGAAAGTTCTAAATGACTGTTAATAACGTTTAGGGCAAAGATCAAAGATCCCAAGATACTGTCAGATGCTGTACTCATGGGAAAGCGCTTTGTTGCTGAAGAGGCTCTGTCTGGTGGAATTATTCAAAAGGTCTGCTCTGCTGAGCAATTACTTGATACTGCGGTGCAGATGGGCAAAGAGGCTGTTGAAGAAAAGAAGTTTAAAAGAGACTTCTTTAAAGAGTTCAAGACAAATCTCTATAGTGACATTGTTGATGCTTTTCAGAGACAAATCAGTAATACTGAAGAGAGTCTTAAAGTGATTTCAGACTTTTCTCTCAGTTCTAAACTTTGAAAGAAAAATTTATATGCTTAAATGACTGGTGTGGTGTTCCTCAGACGGCTAAAGGTGCCCAACGCCAACTTCTTAAGCAGAAGTACCAGGCTCCCTCAGTTAGTTAAGACATGTTGAAAAGAAAAGTAAGCGGAATAATGCTGTCTCCACAGTCCTCACCTGAATGTTTTTCTTTTTCTGCTCAAACTGACTAACTAATCAGTAAAGCAGTGCTAAGGCAGTGCTTAACCCTAATTAGTAAAGGGGAAAACTACATTGTCTAAATTTCATGAGGTGTCTGAAGGGGCTATGGTCGAGGGGATTTAATGATAACCGACTTTGTTAGAGATAAATCCGAAGTTAGGATTAGGCTTACAAGCTTATTCCAGGCTGGGCGCTTATTAAGTTTTTCTGCCTTTAGGATGGGCGCTTATTCAAGGTGGGCGCTAATTCGAGGTTGGGCGCTTATTCGAATAAATACGGTAACTTATTTCACCAGAAACGGTAACATGCTGGAGTTACAACGACCAGAATTCGAGTTATCGGGGTAAATTTCAGTGAACTAAGTTTTTTATCAAACCGGAAATGAAATTTAGTTCCCTCAGTCGATTTAGCCGGGGGAGGGTGGGGGGGGGGAGATTCGAGTTATTCGAGTTCGAGTTAACAGAGTAAAAATGGCTGAAAAGTGGGGTGAAATCCAAGGGGAAATGGACTTGGTTCGAGTTAGCAGGAAGTTCGAGTTATCGGGGTGATGCCCTATATTTGTACACGAAGACCCGGTTCAGACTACGAACTTTTCATGAGCCAAACCTAATACATTGAGTTAAGTACTATGAAAAGTTCGGCGTCTGAATGAATTTGGAACACCTGTTTCAATTTGGGACGGCTCAGCCGTTCTTTTTGCCTAGCCTGACCGGGAATTTCCCCTTTGGAGCGACTTTGGAACGGCGTTGATTCAGACGCCGAACTTTTCATGTACCGAACCCAATGCATAAATTATTATAACGTATTTTGTAAGCAGTTTGACCGAAATGAGCATTTTTCGCCTTTTGATTTTAGTTCCGCATCTGAATCAATTCAGGCGGTCTAAATAATTTGGGTCGGCCTGAATTCGAATAAGGTTTGGCTCATGAAAAGTTTGGCATCTGAACCGGGTCTAAATCAGTTCAATTTAAGCACTGATAAAACTTGAAGAAAAACGTGCCATTTTGCAATGGTGTTAATGCAAAAAAAAATTGTGAACGCGGGAATTTACTGCCGGATGACTTATGGAAAAATACTGCTCTACGTAAAGGTAGCGGGAAAACCTAAAGATACTTGTAAATAAAAACGATTGAAGTACTCAATTCGTTTTCTACTTCTTCTTTAATAATCCAACTTTCGTGCAGAGTTGCAAGAATTTCGCCACGACAACTGCTGGGTACCGGGAATTCAGAAAAGCTTCGGAAAGGCTTTTTTGTAAAATTGAGTGAATTGAAAGTGAAAGAAAGTTTCTGGTTTTACCTATTTCACTTTCGTAATTTTGAACAAACCCTCTCCAATAATTTATCAAAAATTCACTGTGCCAATAATTTCCTTATAGAAGCTTTTTTTGTATATCCTGAATGATCGGTTAGCCGCTGAAATGTCAAAAACTAAACAAGGAATTTTACTGAAGTAGCCTCTTAAAAGCTCTACAAGCTGACGTACTGAAGCCATTCGCTCATAAGACTATATAAGCTGCATTCATCAACAGTAAGGACAGTTTGAACTGATTTTAAGGAGTTTAAATCGAATTTTTAATCATAAGGCAAATTCTATAAGGCTGGCGTCCATGCATCAACAGAATCCTATTCCTCTGACACGGGCGAATCCCACACGCAGTTCTCAGGCTCTGATTTTCTTTACGAATATGTTTCTCCTCGTCGGTTTTATCTTGACCGTAGTTGGTGGTGTATGTTCTATGGAGCGAAGTCTAACGCGAATCGTTGGGCCGATATTTTTGGGAATCAGCGTAGTATTGTTGATTCCAACCGTGGTGCATACTCGCAACCGCCAAAGAAACAACAATGCCGGACAAGGTATAGCCGAACCGACTGGTCAAATCGGATCAACAACTCAAGGAGGATCGGACAATATGATGATCACCACTCAACTTGATCCTAGCACTAATGACTTTCAACAGCCGTACAGGCAAACACCAAAGTATCCCTGGGGAACAGGACTGTATCCGCCGCCACCCGCTGGAACTTTGTGTCATCCGACGGGACCAGCTTATCCTTCGTCTAGTTGGTACCCTTATAATTCTTCAGAGAATGGTCAGCCAGCATACCCAACAGAGATACCCCCACCCCCATCGTATGAAAGCGTTGTTGGCCAAAGTGACTCTGCTCAGAGTGCCCACACGAAGACGCAAGTTTAAAAGGGATCTTGGAACGTGGATGGATACGAGTCAAGATCACATTAAAAAAACGCGAAGAGCTGCTTATGCTTTCACATACACAACGTCAGGTGCATCCGAAAGTTTTTACCTAAGAAGCTACTCAAACAAGTGCATGCCCTCCCGCACGGCTGCCCTCGGTTCGCGTCACCAATTTACAGCGCGCGTACGGAATTTAATTAGCGCAGGACTGCTGAATTCCTTCACTGGCCCCCCGTTTAAGAGTGGTGTATTGACATTTAAGATATTGTACGTACCGTCACCTGAATACTTAAAAGAAGTCGTGACAATAAAAGAGAACTCTAGTCACAATTGCAATCTACGATCCAACAATAGACTCCTTTTTGAAACACCATCTATAAAGTCAAAAAAGACATTTGGTGAGAGCTCCTTTAAAATGGCGGCCCCTGCCGTATGGAACAAACTGCCGAGCAGTATACGTAACGTGACTAATTTAGACAAATTAAATCGTCGCTTAAGACCTGTTTTTTCAATTTAACTTATAATTAGAATTAGATCTCAACAAGTGAGAATTAAACAAGGATCTTGCTAGGACTTTACATACAGTTTTTTAATGCTGTCAATGCATACATACACTATTCTTCAATTTTATTTATTTCTACATTTATTGAACATACGTATCTTTTTTATATAATTACTTGCCTTCGTAATATATGTATATGTTATTTACACTATTTTATAATTAAGTTATTTATATATTTTTATCGCTCATCTGATTTTATTGATATAGTGGAGCTTCCATATAACGAAGGGCCAAGGGAATGGCAAAAATTGTTCACTTTAAAGAGGTTTGTATATTTCGAGGTTATTTTCCATATATTTACTATTACTGGGGTACCGATAAAGAAAAATCATTAATTTTACCGAGGACTTCTTCGTTATATAGAGGTTCCACAGCCGTCTCCTGTTGAAAGAGATGGAGTATGGAAGGTCAGATTTAATTTTGCCGCTTGTTTTCCTTATGTGGAAGTATATATATGTGCTATCATAGCTTGTGACAAAAGAGGATTTTTTGTGATAAATACAATGTTTATTTTTCGATACTTTTCAAATGATGTTCTACTCGTCAGTGTATCTACGCGCGTAGTTGTATGTATACAGCTATTTCGAGAAAAGTTGTCGGAAAAAGTGCACGCGACAATCACGAAAGGTATTGTGGGTGGTTTTGAGTTCGCTGTTCTTCAAAGAGGCCATGGACGTATGTTTGCGCGTGCTAAAGGAAAGCAATAAAAGAAGTTTTGACAGCTACAGTGTAAGTAACAGTGTACTGATCATATCCCATATTACTTTTCGGGATTGTCGCGTGCACATTTTTGCCGACAACCTTTCTCGAAATAGCTGTATACGCACAAACGTGCTGTCCCGCGTTCTGTCTGATGGCCTACGTATCAATGAACTTTTTCGAGCAAGTTGTTGTACGGAAATCAAACCGAGGGCCAACAAAGAAGAAGGAGGGGGAGGGAGGGAAGGTGACACTCTTCGCCCCTGATAAATTAAATAAAGTCCGCATTGACAATAACACTGGCTAGGCTACAAGCAGTCTCTCTGTTTCTTGGTCCTTCGAGCAAACGCGCAAGACACGAAAATGGCCACGGGAAGAAAAAGCAGAGCCGGACTGCACGCAGGCTAAACGCACTGGCCTGTAGGGATAGAGGGGTCGCTGGTTTATCTTTAAGACTTAACAACTTAATTTGGAGGCAATATTGTGAGCTCGAGAATTTACTTTTAGGTGACTTACGGAAAACGAGGTTTCAGGAATTTTCAGACAATATGGGTACAGAACTGGGAAATTGAGTAAATGAAAAATGAAAGGAAGTGGGTGAAAAAAGGTACTCCTTATCCACTTTGTCAACTAACGAACTTTCTGGTTTTGTCTAATTTCACTTTCGTTTCATCGTTATTTGAACAAACCCACTCCACTGAAAAATTTATCCAACATTGACTTTGCCAACACTTTAAACTCCTAATTGAGGCATTTCTAGAGAATGCAAATCAACTCTCGGTGAGCCGCTGAAATGCCTAAACGAAACAAGGTATTTGACTGAAGTGCCTCATTAAAAGCTTTACACGAGCTGGCGTATATTTACTAAGGCCATTGGGTCATTAAGACTATATAACCTGCATTCAGCAACAATAAGGACATTTTTCAGCAGATTTTATGAAGGTTGAAACGAATTTTCAACAGTATGTAGAAATTATTAATAGTGACGATTATCGCCGTTTTTTGTTGCAGTCATGCATCAACAGAATCTTGCTAATTTAACACTGGTTTATTCCGCATTCAGTTGTACCGCCGAATGCCGCAAAAAATGTGCTCTGATTTTCTTCACGATTATGTTTTTGCTCGTTGGTTTTATCTTAACCATAGTAGGCATTTCGGCGAAGCGGACCTGGGGCCCTGAAGATGAGTTGCGATGTAGCTTTTGTAAAGAAGAAAGGATGGCGAGGGAACAGAATCTAAAGAATTGTCGAATCGTGGGTCCGATTTTCTTAGCAATGGGCTTTTTCTTCTTGAGTGCTACCATCATAGTGCATACTAGCAAACCGAAGGAGAACCCTGCCGAACGCGTTATAGCCAGATCTAAAACTGGTCAGATCAGTAACTCACGGAGGATCGGGCAATGTGACCACAACCACTCAACATCCTAGCCCCTATGGCATTCAACAGCCTTACGGGCATTCCGAGTATCCCGAGGGATCGGAATCTTATCCGTCACCACCCGCTGGACATGTGGCTTATCCAACGGAAGCAGCTTATCTTTCATCTACTCGGTACTCCTATAATTCTTCACAGAATGGTCGCCAGGCACCATACCCAACAGCGATACCCCCGCCACCGTTCCTTTGAAAGTTTCGTTGGCCAAAGAGACGTCGTTGCTGCCAGTGCCCCCCCCCCGGAGACGCAAGTGTATTGAAAGAGATGAAGGAATTTGCCGCTTGTTTTTCTTGTTTTGTAGTATATAATGCCAAAGCTTGTGACAAGAGAGGATTTTTGTGATAAATATTGAATTTACTTGTGAACGCATAAACGTGCGGCCTCAGTTTGCTTCCTGATGATATGCCATGAACATTTCCGGGCATGAGCTGTAGCACGGAAATAAAAACGAGGGCAAAAATGGGGGAAGGGGGGGGGAGAGGAAGGTGACACTCTTTGCTCCTGATAAAGGATTCATAGA